AAGAAAAGAGGGGAATGTGAGGCCTGATTCTTACTTAATAGGCCTTGTGAGACAGACAAGATATTTTAAAACTAGGCACCCTGGGAGCTTTGGTGGTGAGAAGATCCTCACACGTTCTCAGCATAAGGGCGAGAGCACAGTGGAAAGAGAAACCACAGAGAACAAAGTCCAGAGAAGTCAGATGTGCGGAACAAAGGGGCCCAGAGGGATGGGGCGGAGGGGGCGGGTGGCATGGAAGCAGTGGATCAATGAACAGAATTGAAGCGGCTTGGTCAGAACAGATTCTGTAAACCTCTTGACTAATACGGCACCAAATTGCACTTATGTTTTTGGTCACAATAAAAGGCAAACTTACTATAACTAATTAGCATATATATTTTTAAGCTTACAAAAGGCCAAAGGCCTTGAGTCACAAAGCACTGGGAACCCTCCTTCCCCAAGACAGACTCTCTGTCCAGCAGGTAGGGTCCCTTCCCCCCGACAGCGAGCAGGGAGTGACAGTTCCGGCACATCATCCCCTGCAGGCCCTACGCACGAATCACGATCTAGGGACACTCGAATTAGAACATCTGCCCCGCGGCCTCATCACGGTGGAAGGCCATTTATCGAGGGTTTTCTGATGGTACCTGCGATATTTCAGCACTTAAGCCGGAGAAGCAAATGGTGCTGAACACTGAGAACCAGTCAAACGGAGCCCTAACGTCCAGCAGCTCTCAGGTAAAGAAAGCCGTCACGTCTGGGAAGCCCACGCTTCAATTTGCTGTAAGTTTGCGGAAACATGACCCCACAGGCTCTGGGAGACTCCAGGGGAGCATCCAGAGTTGGGCTTCCTCAGATGCTATTAGGATGAGAGGCTTCAACTGGGCCCCCACTGTGACCCTGAGCTGTCCCCTGCCCCGTGACAGCGAAAGGTTCCTCACCACCCCAAACCATCCATGACCAGCCTCCCAGCTTCCACGACCCCTTCCTCTTGTTTCCTCCTCCAGAAGCTCCCTCCACCTGCCAAACTCCTACCTAACCTTTAAAACCTAATCCAAATGGCCTCTCCTCTCCAAAGCCCTCTTGGCCACACCCGTCACTCACCACACAGGCACACTGCAGCCACGTCTCCCTGGGAGGCCCCGCCCCACCTGCACCTCCCTTATTACACGCCTGTCTGTGCTGCAGAGTTACGCCCCTGGATTATTCACACCAGCCTTCAACAGAGCTCACTCGTGAAAACAAAAAAGTTTTACCTGTGGTTCTAATGCCGTGCTTCTGTCTCCTTTCATTGCAAAAGTCCTGGGAAGGACTCTGGCGGCTTCTCTCTTGAATGGGAAGAACTGCCCTCATGGCTCCACCAAAGCCCTCCACTGTGGACTGCCTCCCCTTCATCCCCTAGGCAGCATTCACCCCCTCCCCCTGGAAACCCTTTCCTGCGAAGTCTCCTGGTCTTTCCATCCCAACCGCTGCTCCTCCCGAGGCCGCTCTGTGCTCCCATCTCAAGCCGCCACACGGTGGGGCAGCCCAGGCCGGCCCTTCGGTCCTTTCTCCATCCGGACCCGGCATTTACCCGCCATCACTTCCCATGCCCGAGTCCACCCAGGCCCCTGAGCCCACCTGACACATGGTTCCATGACCGACCTCTTTGCCAACAGTCCCACAAAAGTGTTTTACAAAATGCGGTTTCTTGCCCTTCAGCTGACAGTGTAAGCTGCTCAGCCTTACTTCAAACAGCTGCAAGGGACGTAATCTCCAGCATATTATGAATATTAACTTCTTAAAATAAAACTGCTATGTGGCTCTTCTAAACACATCTATTGGAATCGAAACACCACAGCGTGATACCCACTGCCATCCGGTCACAAGGCATGTGGACAAGCTCTTCATCCGTCAGGAGGCTCACGGCACTTCTGTCTTTACCATCGTCTGTTTCCATCACCACAGATGTTAAACCCAATGTGTTATGTTTGTGCTTGAAATGACTATTGATCACCTTTTACGCATACAGATCAAATTAGTCTTGATTTCCTATGACCGTGAGTTTGTGCTAATTTCTCCTGGACTACGCTATCGTTCCAATAACTGGGACACCACTGATCAAAATGGAAATACTGCCCACACTGGTAAACAGTCACCTAGCACAGAAGCTGGGTTTAATGAGATAAATAGGACTTTTCCACCAATCCAGTCACGTATCATGAAATTCGATTCAACTCTGTTCCTACCCTTCGTTTTTACAGATGGGAGTGCAGGAAACCCTGCTCCCACAGACAGGTAGTTGGGACGGAAGAACTTTGTTATAGTCGCCACTTAGCAACGACCACCTGCCGAGGTCTCCCATGCACCGTGATAGCCACATATTTGTGAGCTGACCACGGCCCACACCAAGACTGGGGCTGGGGGGTCGCCATTTTCTGGACAGCGGGAGGGACCCTTCCTTAGTAAGGGAGCACTTAAGGAACGTGATGACCAGGACCATGGGCCCTGGGCAAGGGTTTCTCCCACCCGAGGGGCAGTTTGAAGATGCTGCTGGTCTACCAGGTCCTGATTCCCTGACCACCCCTCAACCTGCACACCTGTCACCTGCACCTCAGTGAATGGCACCTCCTGTCACCCCCTGTACATTCCCCACCCAAACCAGCAGCAAGGCCTGCCTCGCTCTAGAAATACGCTTTGTCCTGTCACCTCATTTCCCCTCTGCCCCCACCCTGTTTCTAGGGGAACCTTGTTGGGCAGCCACGGGGTCCTCTCTAAAAAGACACAGATCCTTTGGACCCCTGCCCCAAACCCCAGTGGTGTCCACTTGGCTCTCAGGGTAAACTCTGAGTAGAGTACAGCCTGTGCCACCCTCCCGTGCTACCCCACCTCAGCCACACAGAGCTTGCTGCCACCCCAGGGCCTTTGCACTTGCCACGTCTGCCTGTGACAGACACCCTCACCCCAGATCTCCACTGAGGGCCTCGCAGCACTGGTTTCCACTGGAATGTCACCTTCTCAGTCAGACCTTCCTGGTCCCCACTGCCCAAGTGTGCCTACCCCTGCCCATCCCCCGCCTCCACCTGTCACCCTTCCTGCCTTCTTCTACTCCCTCCCTCCAGAGCATTCGGTCTACCAGGCAGGGCCTTCTCGCTCACCCTCTGCAGCGCCCGGCACGTGAAAGCTGCTGGGTGGACGGCCAATGAACACGCGCACGCGTGAACCATGTGAGATGAAAGACAGGTATTGTCATACGTCACAACTGTGGAAAGGAGGCTGAGAAAGCATTTGAGTCCTCGCCCACAATCTCAGCCTCTCAAATCCCATGTGCAAGAAACAGCTGCCTTCAGTCTCCCTTAAATCTGCAACATGGGAGAAGCGTTCTTCCCCTGGCCTTCTACACAGACGATGATATCAAAAGAATGATACATGAGAGGTATACCCCAAGCTAACGGAGTTCTTTCTCAAACATAATTGTTCCCAGAAAAGCTATTAGCCTTGTAATTGGGGGTGATTTTTAAATTTATTTATTGGTCTTCTGGAAAAAATAACTATTCCTTCTGCTTGCAAAATCTAACATATTGTATTCTTTGTTGGCAGCTTTTTTTGCAAAAATATGAATCAAAGATATAGAAGAAAAAAACTTTATACAGGATAAATCTTACTATCTTTCCCTTTCAAAATTCAAACTATAGTCCTATTTCTTAACCATTCACCATAAGGCAGTGAGGTCAAGGAAATCCAGAGAAGCAGAGTGGAGCCATGAAAATGTGGAAAACGTGAAAATGTCCAGGTTTGAAACAAAATACGGTGGTGTTTTGTGTGTACTGGGTGGGGGGGGAGGCTAACTTATAAAAACAAAGTATCTACATCATTACACTCTCCAGGGAGAGTTCTCACTGTTGCCTTTGAAGATCTGTCACAAAACCACTTGCTCATTTACTTTTCGTCCTTAAAAATACGTCCAGGAACCAAGCTGGGTTTCTCCAAATTTATCTGGTGAGTCCAGATTCTATGAGAGTGGCTTAAGCAAACGTGGTTTTTGTGGGTTGGCCGCTTAAATATGTACACGGGTCCACGTGTCTCTGATCACACACTTGTTTCTACCATTTTAATCTACCCTTGGTGGGGCAGGATGGCAATTTCTGAGCTTTTGTGGAAAAAAAGGAAATCTCATCTACTACCTTAATAGAGATTAACACATAACAACTATAGCTATCAGCACGGTGGATATTTCCATAATGCGTTTTCACTTGTCTTCTCAAAGCTGACCTTCATCGCGAATACCCGTCTCCTCGCCAGAGGCCACATGGCCGGCTGGTCCACCTGTCCGCGCCAGGGCGGGGCCAGCGCGCCGTTTTCCAGCACAGCCACCCACCCCGAGGGCGGGCACATGTCACCTGTCCACGGATTTCACTACCTTGCCTCTGCCACCCAAGGGTTTACACAAACAGGATGCAGGGTGCTCGGGGCGGGGCGGCGGAGGGGGGAGGCTGGGCAGCCCCGTCGCCCGAATCCTGGGGTCTGCCTTGCTAACCGCAGGAGCGGGGGGTCCAGGGACCCTCCCCATTCGCCCCCGGGGGCTGGGCCCAGGACGGGGGAGAGTGACATCACGAGGCACCGTCGGCGACGAGGGCGCCCGGGGGCGGGACCGCGGGCCGGGGGCCGGGGGCGGAGGACCCCCAGCGCCGCGCCCACGGGCGAGCGCGGCCCCGGCCCCGCGCCCCGAGCGGGCGGGCCTGGGGGAGCGGGCGGCGGGGCCCGCGGCGGGGCCGGCGGCGGGCGGGATGGCGGCGCGCAGGGCGATCCCGGAGCGGCTCCGGGAAATCCAGCCGGGTTTTGACTCCGATCGCCCACGGTGCCCGCAGCCGGCGAATGTAACAAAGAACAGGCGGCATGGCGGCTGGACCGGGGCGGGCGGCGGGCCGGGCGGGGCCGGGGGCGGCGGGCCAGGCGGGGGCGCGCGGGGGCGGCGGGCCGGGCCGGGCCGGGGCGGTGCGTGCGGGGGCGGGCGGAGGGCGCGGGGCCCGGGCTTTACCTGCCTTTGGAATGTGCAGAGCGGGATCGGATCCGGACTCCGGGTTGCGATCCGCTCCGGAAACTACGCAGCACCGGAAGCCGGGGGGCGGTGGCGGGGCATTGTGGGAGTTGTAGTTCTCCCGGGGCGCGGGCGGCGTGGACGCGAGAGCGTGGGAGCGGACGGCGTAGACGGGAGAGCTGGGGAGCTGGCGGCCTGGACCAGGGGTGGGCGGTGTGGTCGCGGAGCAGGCGGCCTGGCCGGGGAGCAGGCGAGCGGGCAGTGTGGACGGGAGAGCCTGGGAGTGGGCGGCGTGGACGGGGAGGCGGAGGAGCGGGCGGTGTGAACGGGAAGCGGGCGGCGTGAACGCGGAGCGGACGGCCTGGGCGCGGAGGCGGGCAGTGTGGACGGGGAACGGTGGAGCGGGTGGCATGGACCAGCGAGCAGCAGGGCGCGGGTCGTGTGGACGGAGGAGAAGGTGGCACAAACCAGTGGAGCGGCAACGGCTGCGGTGGACGCGGCAGCGGGGTTGCGGACCGCGTGGACGAGGGGGAGCCGGAGCGGTGTAGACAGGACTGTGGCAGGGCTTGGGCGGCGTGCACAGGGCAGCGGCGAGGCGTGGACGGGGCGCGCGGTGAGCGAGTGGCGTGGATCCGGATCGGCGAGTAGAAGCGGGGCGGGTTCCGGCTGCCCTCTCCCCGAGACTGGAGTGAGCGTCGTGCGGCCACGCGCGGCCCCTTACCCGGTGGCGCAGCCGGGTCCCGCCACCCCCGGCAACTTTGCGCTGGCAGCTCGCGCAGGCCCCCTACCCACACCCAGTACCTTTCTTCTGATGGCTCCGTCGAGCCTGAATTCCCTGGAGGGGGTTTGGGAGGGTTAGGTGCGAGCGGGGGTCGAACTTTTATTTAAAACAGTTCTAAGATTTGCTGCCCAAGCATAATGATTTCTGAATCTAGCCCATGGACTGCTGCCATTCTTGGTCATCTTTCTGTCCACCCAGTGAATGCTTGGAAGCCCTTGCTCTGCCCCCCAATTTCATGAATCAGAGCAGCTCGCTGGTTAGCGGATAGCGGAGCATTTCAATCCAGACCCAGTGAGTCCCCGAAGTCCCCGCCGTAACCACTACCCCACACTGCTCTGTGCAAAGTTTGCACACAGACCCAGGCTGCGAAATTGAGGCCAGAGAGCTCCCTGGCGCTGAATGTTTCTGCCCCTCCCTCCACCCCAAGCTTGGGGGCTGGTGTGGCCTCCCGACCCCCACCAGTCACAAAGTATTAGAAATAGAAGGGACCAAAGGGATGGCTTATCTAGTCCTGGCCTCTCATATTCAGAGATGTAAGCTGTCTTGTTCATTTATGCCTGGCAAAAAGCCTTCGTTAACAAAGTCAAAGAGAGGGGCCGAACTGAGGGAAATGATTTGAAATTGATATTAGAAAGGGCTCGTTCCCCTCATATATGTAAAGCTCTTAAGAACCATTAAGAAAACGATAAAGAACCCAAGAGAAAAATGAACAGTCTATGGACAGTGCACAGAAAATGCAATGGCTCCTATAAGCATAGGAGGTGCTAGTCAACTATATTGTTGCAGCCATGTATGTAAAGCAAAATCACAGTGAGATCATTTTTATCAATTACATTAGCAAAGAATTTTCAAAGTTGAATAGCATGATTTTGGAGAGACTGTGGAAAAACAAATGTTCTCATCCTTTCCAGGTGGGAGATTTAACGGGTACAGCCTCCATCCAGGCCATTTGTTAATATCCACAGAAATTCTAGATGCACATAGCCTTTAGCCCAGCAGTCCCACCTGCAGGAATGTATCCTTCAGCCAGACTCACTTGTATTGGTATGTGTTTGAGGTTGATCTTTTTGGCTTGTGGGACCTTAGTTCCCTGACCAGGGATTGAACCTGCGCCCTCGGCAGTGAAAGCGCGGGGTCCTAACCACTGGACCGCCAGGGAAGTCCCCATCAGCAGGGCACATCCTCAGGGAGTGGGGAGGGAGCCTGCAGGGTGTGCAGTGCTGCCGGGGCTCATTTTGCCGCCCCCCCCTCACGGTAGGTCTGCACCACAGCCTCCTACACCTAGATCACCTCACCTGTGTCCCCTCACCTCCACCCTGCTAGTGGCCCCCACTCCGCCTCCAGCGGTGAAATCCCAGCCCGCCGCCAGGCTTCTGTTCCTGCAACACATTCCCAAGACCTGTACTCATTCCCACTATCTTGGAACACGCCCCCAGGTTCTCCACCTCCATTCAGCTCTTTGCCCAAATGTGCCGCAGCTCCCAAAAGCCCCAAACTGACCACGGCGGCTAATGTGCTCCGCCACCTACACACCCACCCCTCTGGCGACATCCCGCAACACCTGCAGCCCGGGGCTGGGTCCACATTCCCCAAGGTCATTGCATCTTCAAAAGAAAGCTCAGCCTGTTCATTAGATTCTGTCTGTGAGGGCTGGAAATAATTCCTTTTAAGGCAGATTTGTAGCCAAAATTCTAAAGTTAAAAAAAAAAAAAGGTTTGTTGCTGAAAGTGTCAAATTCTTATTGTTAACAACTAATGCAACAGGCCTTCACTGGATTCCAGGCAGAAAAAAAAGGAAAACCACCTATAAAGGATGTCATGGAGGCAGTCGGGGAAATGTGAATATAGACTGTGATACTAGATAATAGTATTGCATTGATGTTAAATTGAAATTTTTAAACATTAATGTTAAATTCCCCAGACATGATCATTGCATTGAATTATGACATGAAGATGCCTGTGTTCTTAGAAAAAGGCTTCTGAAGAATTTAGGGTGAAACATGATGTCCTCAAACAATAATTGATCGATTGACCGATAGATGCTGGATAGAGCAAATGCAGCAAAACTGGGGAATCTAGGTGAAGGGTATGTAGGTCATTCTGTAGGTTTGGAATTTTTAAAAATAAATTGGGAGAATTAAAAAAAAACATAAACAGGGAAGAGCCTCCCTTATTGTCAGTGGATTTTCCTTCCTGAACAGAGACTAGCTGTGACGTTAAGATGTCATCAGTTTACCGCGTGGCCCCAGATTGGGTGTCATGCTCTCAGTCCTGACATTGGCTTGCCTGACGTGTACTTTCCAACTAACTTGTCTCATTAGCTCTGGTTTTTTGTTAATTTAGATATAAAACGCCTTTGCTGGGGGACATTATGGATGTACATATCCTAAGCTTCACTTCTTTACACCACCTTTAGCTTCTACTTTCATTCTGGCTAATTCTTCCCATCCAGATAAAGAGAGAAGTAATCGGCAAATAATCTCATTCCTACTATGTGCAAAGCAGTGCATCTCACTTTCCATCATTCTCACCCACAACAGGGAGCATTAAAGTTCAGGAGAGACTGCATAAGGCCACAAGTCCTTGGTCTCTCCAGTTGACACAAGGCAGTAGAGACTTGTGGTCACGAACATGGAGTCTCCAGCTGGACAACCTGGCTTCAAATTCTGGTTCTGCCACTAATCAGCTGTGTGATCTTGGGCAAGTTACCTAACCTCCCTGTACCTCAGTTTCCTAATCTGTAAAGCAGAGATAGATCATGACTCATGGGGCTGCCTCAAAGAGTACAGGAGTCAGTATCTGTTAAACGCTTTGCAAAATTCCTGGCACATAGTAAGTGCTCAGTTAGTATTGGCTATAATCACTGTGATCTCGAGTCTTTCCTGGTATTTCTCTAAAATATCAAGTAACCCAAGGCACCTAGGCAAGCATCCAACTTTATAAATATTGATGACATCAATATAATGAACTGTTTTTTTTGTTTTGTTTTTTGCGGTATGCGGGCCTCTCACTGCTGTGGCCTCTCCCGTTGCGGAGCACAGGCTCCGGACGCGCAGACTCAGCGGCCATGGCTCACGGGCCCAGTTGCTCCGCGGCATGTGGGATTCTCCCGGACCGGGTCACGAACCCGTGTCCCCTGCATCGGCAGGCGGACCCTCAACCACTGCGCCACCAGGGAAGCTCCAATAATGAATAGTTTTGAGTGCCTGGCACATGCAGGGCACAGCTTGGCGATTTGCATTATGGACAGTCATGGTTACAGAGCCAAGGTGAGCAGTGGACAATGGTGAAAGTTGATGCTTCAGGGGGTCTGGCCTTGGCAGCGTTCTCTTGAGGGCGGGCACCGTGCAAGGTCCTTCGTCCTGGTGGCCAGCCCTCTGTGGTGAGTGAGGTGCATTTTCTTTTAATAAACGATTTATTGACATATACACACAGCACCCTATAATTGTAGGAAGTGACCGAGATCAAGAGCAGCACGTTTTTTGTCACGTGCCGCCCCTCCATGTCTGGCTCTGTCCCCTGACCCTGGGCCCTGGGGTAGGATGGGCGGAAGCAGACTTCCTATTTGAGCTTATATAAAGCTGTCTGCTGACGTCCATCATTGCTCTAAGTGGGCACCATCCTAAACCCAGGGAATACGGACACCTACATTCTTGCTGGGGTGCAAGGCTAAGAGAGAGTGAGATGGGGCCAAGTGACGGACTGAAGGATGCCAACGGAAGTGCCCTGGGGCATCCGAGGTGGCCGAGCACTTCATGCAGAAGGCCGGGCTTGTGTTTGGTTAGATCGTAAGAATAGGGAGAAGTGCATCCTGGGGCCGAGGGGTGTGCATTCCAGAATGCCCAAAGGTGGTTGAAGTGGATACGTTTGGGCTGTACAGAGGGGATCGGCAAGAACAGTGTGCACCTGCAGGTGACCGCAGGAGATCAGGCTGGGAAAGCTGGCCATCCAGCAAGTCCCTCCGGACTCCTAGAGTGTCAGTGCAGAGTGGACCCCCCCACACGCGAAGCAGCAGTTCAGTCCCAGGCCCCAGGATACCTTAATCCCAAACCAGTCGCAGCACCATCGCCACCTGCCATGTCCAGAGCACAGAATCCAGGGTCTGAGCCCCGCTAACACTGGGGCTTTGCATGGGCAGACTCTTCCTCTGAAATGCAGAGCTGTGCGTCAGTCTCGGCCCTCAAGTGACCACTCCACACCCGAAAAGACAGGCAGGGTCAGGACAGCCGAGAGGAAGGGTGGGGGGATGGGTGAGGGGCTGGGGTGGGTACCAGTTTTCTAAGTGCCAGGTGCTTGGGCAGATTAGTGGGATGAAACTGCTGAAACAGGGAAGCTGATGACCAGGAGAGACGTGAGGCCTGCAGGGCTGGTGCAGGACGCTGTCTGTGCACCCCTCCCGGCCCCTGCCCCGTCCCCACCCAATAACCGTGGAGGAGCCCAGGCCAGCCTGGATGCCAGCCACCACAGAGCCCCACCTGGCATATGCCCCTCTGACCCCGTGCAGGTGTCCACTGTGCACCCACCCTCGGGCGACTGCTGGGATGGGGCGATGACAACAGGGGCGATGGATGGATAAAGGCTTCACGCCCCAAGGGGACAGCACTCCTCATAAGGTCCCTGGGGATCATACAGGGTCACGTGGCCACTGGGGGACCCAAGCCAAGCAGACCCTGACTGGCAGCACCTACAATTCACCAGAACCCAAAAGTTCACGGGAGACATGGACGGTCTAGTAAATGATTTTTGCCCCAGGCCTAAAGCAGGTGCTAAGTGACTTACAAATCACCTAAGGAGAATGTTAGGAGGACAGCTCCTGGTTTAGCCAGCTGACCAGGGTGGCGCCTGACAAAGGAAAGACCAGGATTCCGGCGCCTCAGAAAAGCCGCCGAACTTTGGGGACAGCGCAGGACTCGGCAAAAACGACTCAATGTTTAGTGTTGCATGGGCACGTTTATTTCCTTCAAAGACCGTTCGTGTTCCAGCCACACCTTCCCCGCATGAACCCAACTGCACAGGGCTGGTGCAGGACTGCAGTCTGTTTTTAAAGTGCTTCCCAGGGATACAATCATCGTCGGGTAAAGTCATCACCACACTTGGTCATCAAGCCAAACCTCTCCACATACCTGGAAAACCTCTTATTTTCTTCTTTAAAAAAAAAAAAAAAAATGTAGCTTTGATACGATATCGGGGGGAAAAAACCCTACAAGCCTAAATTATAAACGGCACATCACTGACCAGTTGGCAGCTGGGTGAATGGGGCAGTTTGTTGTATTTCAAATGCGTCCTCATCCAGAAAGTAGGAATGTCCCCCCCCAAAAAAGGAAGCAGAGAGGTGTAACCTGAGTTTGCTTCGCAGGATTAGCGGTGCTGGCGTCCCTGTGCCACCTGCTTTGGTCATCACACCTTCGCAGGTTTGGGGCAGCAGAGGCAGGGCCTGGCGTCAGGGTCTAGGCCGGCGCTGAGACCTGTTTTTCATCTGATAGAGTTATATGTTCTGACTTCGAACATCCACCAACTTACACTGTCAGGTTTCAAGAGAGCCGAGATGGTTACTCAGAAAACATTGGAACTGAGTGGCAGCAGCGTAAATGAATCTTTCCCTTCCTGTTCGAGAAGAAAATCTGCAAAATTCTTCTATAGGTGTGGCCAGCGAAACAATCAAACATCTGGACAGGCACCCAGCTTGTGACTGGTTGGCAGCGGCAGGCCAGGTAGCCCTCTCTAGGAACCAAGGGCCGCTTGTGAACTTAAACTTGAGACCTGATTTAAATAAAGCGCTCGGTCTAAACCTTCTTCCTCACAGCAGGTTTTCAACTGGAACGATGAGATGGGTACTTCTGTTGATGCTACATGAAAACATACACGCACACCTAAAGGTCCATTTCATTCCTCCGCAAAGAACACAGGCTCGTCCTTAAACAAATCCAAGAGAATTGTTGACAGCTCATTAAAACCAACGTGACCAGCTGGTTCCGGACATACAGACGCACATTAACATTAGTGCTCGCGAGAAACTGCTTTCAGAGCACCACTCTGCAAAGATTTCATCGAGACAAAACAGAAACCAAACCAAAAGCCCTCAGAACACTCCAGCATGTGGAAAAGGTAAGGGAATAAGGTGACTGACAAATGGGTAGGTTTTGCATTTGGTGTATAATCTAGATTGATGTTATGACATTTACTTTGACATAAATATCCTACACCATTTAAAACCAGATCTGGATAAACAGCTTGGAAAGGAAACATTCACAGTATCGATACAGCCCCTGTTCTCATGGTGCGACCCTGACCCTACGCTTCTTTTCTCTCATCCTATTCCCTGCTACGTTAGTGTCCTCCGTAACTTCAGAAAAAGCCATTTGATGGTGACTGTGTGTGTGTGTCTGGAGGGTAAGCTCTGGGATTGACTCAAATGTACAGGGTTCTTGATGTGCACCCAATAGACACCAAGAAATATGCATCTCCCAGCAACACTGTCCCCCTCGTGTTAATCCACGCGCTTCTCACACACGGGGTGGACGCAGCCCACCTGACACATGCCCAGGACCCTGAAGCGGTTTCAAGTCACAAGGAAGCTGAGAGAGCAGAGCCCCGGATAAAGGTATGAAGCAGGGAACAGAATGCTCATGGGGCCGTTCAGGAATGGGAACAGCTAAGACTTCTTTTTAGGGCGAGAAACTTGGATCTAAAACGCTTGACACCTTCACGCTTGAATAAATCGAGTCCATCTGAATTTCCAAATCGAAAACAAATTGTACCAACTACTGATCAGTGCCTGAAATTCGACACACAATATCCTCTTAGAATTAATTCTGGAATGCCACAGGTTCTGTCGACCACATGAGAGAGAACAGTAATCCTTCAAGTAGAAGAGAACATTAATGAGACCATCGGTTCCAAAAAGACTAGTAGCGATTACTAGCCTATGGGGACTAACTTGGTATGAATATACTATATTTTGGAATACCGGGTGCTAATTGACAGTGATTACAATTGGAGTATAATCTTTGAAAGCAAACTATGCTGAAAAAGTCATTTTACAGTTACTCGATAATTCTTGGGATACCTAAGAATTTTAAATGTGCATTTTACAAAATTCTTAATGTAGTTTTCTAATCTCTCCCTCAAAAAAAAGGAAAGGAAAAAATTCTATAATTTTGATTTTTATAAAGGTTTTGCTCATCCATGGCTCTCTTACTCCTGAAATATATGTTTAAGGATTCACAAAAGCAGCTATAGGAAGGAACTCACCCAATTTCACATCTGTGACAGGAGCCAAGTTTTCATTGTAGACTTTAAATCTTATTGGAGGAAAATGAATCTTACTCAAAACCTTTCACCCTGATAACAAGTGCTCTTTTTTTTTTTTTTTTTTTTTTTTTTTTTGCGGTACGCGGGCCTCTCACTGCTGTGGCCTCTCCGGACGCGCAGGCTCAGCGGCCATGGCTCACGGGCCCAGCCACTCCGCGGCATGTGGGATCCTCCCGGACCGGGGCACGAACCCGCGTCCCCTGCATCGGCAGGCGGACTGTCAACCACTGCGCCACCAGGGAAGCCCAACAAGTGCTTTTTAATAAGCATGTCTCCTAAAAGTGTTTCATTGAGAAGGAGTGGACGATGTGAAAACTGTGAATGAACCCCAGGGTAACGGCGTACAGATGAGGAAAGTGGTTTGGAAGACATGTAGGGATATTAACATCGTGTGCCGAACTGACTGTTTTTTCCACTGGAAATCAAAACAAGGGCATCCCAAGAGTTGCTGAACACAGTAGAATTCCGAAGAGCTCACAGAAGAAGTGTGACACACGTTTGGCTCATTTGTTATTAAACTTCCATTCCTAAGACTCACACCTGAGACATAAAATAATTTCCTCTTTTGCCCTAAAAGTACTTTGTTTCGGCTATGGGCAATATTTGGCAAACCAACCTTGGACTGCAGAAAAACCATATGTGTGTGGTGCCCGTGTCCCTCTAGCTGTGGCTTATTGCTCCTAACTTCATCTTTTGGCGCTTCTGTGAACAAGGAGGCCGGACGGGAGAGAAACATTCCCTGTGTTGGCTGCTCTGTTGGTATTATTACAGCTCTGATGCTATAGAGAAAAATATAAAAACCACATAAGGATTTATGTATCTCCCACTCGTAAATAGGCTCAAAGCAAACTTAGAAAAGTGTTCAGCGTAATATGCATAGGATATATTTAGTATTTGCATAATTTTTCAAGTTATATGGCTAATATCAAAGGCAAATGTCTTCCTACGTTTGTCAGTGTTTCCATTCCCATGGTAATTTCTCTTTGCCTGTGTCCCACCTCTCAGTACTCAGGGCCGCCTGCACTTTTTATTCTGAGCAGCCAATTAGGAGAGGTGACCCATCCATTCCGTTCACAGTGACAGCACAGAGGCGGCCTCCTCTTTGTGATGTGGTCCAGGCACAGACCAAAGTTAGAGCATGGAGGGCAAAGCTTGTCCCCCATCCCTGCCCGTCCACAGCCCCTTACGGTAAGTTCCATAGTTCACACAGTGGTAAATATCCTTCTCCCATTTAACTTCAACTCTTAGACGTGAGCACCGCCCACGCTGCAGAGCCGTCGGGTCTCGTGGCTTCCGGTGGCGAACTGGGCTTTGTAGGTTCTCTCCGGGGGCAACCTCCTGGCTGGAGACTCAGACTGTTTTTTGTTGGGTTTTTTTTTCCCCTTTAAAAGGTGAAATTGTTGGAAAAAACCCCAGCTAGACTGGGGACAGGGAGGCCGTCCACAACTCACGGGCCCTCTGGCTGTGTCCTGGCAGGTGGCTACGGAGGGTCCACGTCTGCAGCATCGCGGGGAAGGAGGCGCGCGCCGGCCTACGGGCAGGGGTCCAGGGGGGCGCCGTTTGCAGTGCTCTGGCCCCGGTGTCTGGAGAGCAGCTTCTTGTTCAGGAACCGGGCAAGCGTCGACCCCTTCCTCCGCGGCCCTGCCGGCTGCTGCAGGAACACCAGGTCGTTGTGGGACTGGCTCAGGCCGGGGTCTTTCTGCTGGTGCCGCCGGCGGAAGAACAGCTTCGCGCCCTTCCTTAAAATCCCTCCTGCAAGAGCAAGGCACGGGGTCAGCGGGGCTGCGGGTGAAAAGCCGGGTGGGCGACGCGTCCAGGAGGAAAGGAAGGAAGGCGGCTCCCTCCAGCGACTCTAATAGAAGGCAGCCTGTGACTGCAGCGCGCCTCCCTGTTGGCACAAGAAAGGCAGCTGGGTCTGGCCTGAGCACAGCACAGGTGCTTCCAAGGCGCAGTGAGCAGGTAGGTCACTTGGAATCCATTCCCAGGCAGGCGTCTAGATCCCTGACTTTTAGAGACTCCCCATCACGAGGGGGGGTATAAACGGCAGAGTGCTTTGTGCCCCAGAAAGGACGCTCATGCTATTAAAACCAAATTAAGGACTCTGAGAACAATGGTATTCACTCTCTTAGGAAATTTAAGGAACATTTATTCTTTTGGGGAGGAAGGTCTTTTACAACTTCAGATCCAGCACGTGTGTATCAGGCTAAGTCACATGAAATGTCTGTTACTTGATCACTTTAGACCTAAAACCCTCAATTTTGTTTGCTTCGACCTATCCGTATATGACGTCAAGTGGTGCAATATGAAATAGAAAAAAAATTAGCAACGGCAATGATTTCCACGGCAATGGTTCCTTAAAGGTTAAATGCCAGCTAACGTATCGATGGCCAGAGCCCACTAACCTGCTTCCATTTTCACAAACTAGCTTCACATCCTACGAACAAGGCCCAGGGGGATCAGGGGGCCCTTCCAGCCAGGCTGGGAAACCCATGACCCCGTGCCTGTAGGTGTGAGTGACTTTGAAAGAATGGCCTGACCATCTCAATAAGGAGCTTTACAGCTAATTTGGCAAAATCCATTCTTTTCACGACAGATCCAAAGAATACTTCAACACCTGTGACATACGCAGAAACCATCCTGGTTTATCCAGACGGGAGGCTGGAGGGCGTCACTTTGCTTTTCTACGTGAAATGTATGGACAGTTGTGGAATCTGACTCAGCCTTGTCCACAGACCCTTGCATGATCAGCACTTACCTCGGGAAAACCAGCATGCCGGTGACCTTTAGAGGCCATGTACTGGACCTGAACTTAAGGATGCATGTCCGAGGGGATATATATATATGTATATGTAGAGCTGGTTCACTTTGCTGTACAGTAGAAACTAACACAACATTGCAAAGCAACTGTACTTCCATAAAATTTTTTTAGAAAAAGAAATTTTCCAATTAACAATGAAGAAAAGAAGAAAAGGATGCGTGTCCTACTTGCTCTGCCTGGGTTAACCAGCAGAACACAGCTCAAAGCTCAAGGAATGGGCCGAATTTAATTTGGTCAAAGCTGTCCAAAAGATGTGTTTTTCATTTGCTCTTTGGGTACAATCAACCTATTGCAAAGACTCACTCGGACATTTTCTACCATTATCTAAAGCTGGGAGGCGGTGTACGGGGGGGCTGAGGAAGGCTGCAAAGGGATGAAGCAGAAGGGTGAGTATAAAAGTGTCAGTGGCTTTAGGCTCAACGGGCTTCTCCTTGGGCCAGAAAGGTCTGTTCCGGGAGCCGTTCCAATGCCTGTAGGATGCAGCGTATCTCAAAAAACCACCGGGTAGGGTGTGTTACGGCAGGGGTCACCACCACCGACAGGGCTTGACTCTGGACTCTGGCCAGTCCCGGGGGCAGATGCAGTGATGCCCACCGGTCAGTTACCCAGCATATTGCAAGTCCCGGGGCCTCCCAGCCTGACCAGGTTACCTCAGATTGGGGGGGGGGACCTAGGAGGTATTTCTGATCTCTAGGTACCTGCTTTGGGTTAAGCTTGGAGCCCCCAAATAGCACGTGAATGGGGGGCTGTCACATTGGAACAGAGGAGAGGAAGGAAGGTCTGATGGATCTACTCCGTTAACCTGGACCCTAATGCCACACCCCACCCCCATCTCCCTGGGGCAGGGGGCAGGGGATGGAAGTGTGGAGAGGGGAACAGACCAGTCCGTCCCCCAGGCCAGCTGCAGATCTAGGGATGTGGAAGCCCGGCAGAAAGAGGATCTCCCCTGGAAGGCTCCATCTGCAAAGCCCATGTCATACATGTCCCTGTGCTGAAATTCAGTCTGGGGTCTGGAGCCAAGGTCTGAGGTGTGAGCGGGGGTGGTGTCATGGGTTGGATCGTGTCCCTCCAGAATTCTTATGTAGGGGTCCAAACCCCAGCACCTCAGAACGTGACCTTGTTTGGAGATACGGTCACTAAAGAGGCAATTAAGTTATAGTGAGGTCGTTAGGACAGGTGCTAATCCAGTATGACTACTGTCCTTATAAAAACGGGAAATTTGGACAGAGACACAGGGAGACGCCATGTGAAGATGAGGGCAGAGCTCAAGGTGATGCGTCTACAAGCCTCGGAGTGACAACGATGGTTAACAAACCCTCAGAAGCTGGGGGAGAGCCTGGGACAGATTCTCCCTCGTAGCCTCAGGAGGAACCAGCCCTGCCACACCTTTATCGTGGACTTCCAGCCTCCAGAACTCAGAGAGAAGAAATCTCTGTTGTTTAAACCACCCCATCTGCGGTACTTTGTTACAGCAGCCCCGGGAATCTAACACAGACAAGAAAGGGCAGGGGAGGATGTGACTTAAGATGAGCGTCCCAAAGCAGCGGCCACGTCCTCCTGTTTATCCTCGGACCCTGGACGCCCCGTGTTAGATCAGGGCAGAGGGCAGATGTTAGAGCAGTCTTCTCAGCCCCAAGACACGCTGGAGTCGGGCAGCAACCTGGAAAAACTCCAGACGTCCAGGTCCCAGCCCTGGGGAATCTGATGTGAGGGGTTCTGGGGAGACATCTGGACATCAGCATCTCTTTAAAAATCCCAGGTCTTTCTAACATGCAGCTGGGGCTGGAAACCACCCACCAAGGTCTGGTCAAACCGCCATCAGTACTTGGTACGTGGAAAACTGCTAAGGACACAGACGTCAGCACCGGGGACCAGACCAGAGGGCAGAAGGTAAGCAGGGCGTTCACTTTCTTCTACATAGTTTCCTGATGCCCCTTCACGTTTTAATATCTCAGGGCCATGCGGGAGGGGGGATGGGGACATGGCAGCCTAGCCCGCAGGGCACAGCACCCGGTGCTGAGGGTCTGGCTTTGCACCCTCGATTGCGCGAGAAACCAGAACACAGGAACAGGCAAGGGGCAGCTGCGCTCAAAACTCCTTAAAAAGGGAGTCTGCACACTTGTGAGCGGTCGCTTTCTCTCGTTTGGATGACATGGCACCTGAAACGCCTAAACTGCAAATTCTCGTCACGTTAACATAAAACAGCAAGGACTTGCGTCCTGGGAGCAGAGCTGGTAGAGGAGATGTGTTGGCCGTAACTGTTTAAACGGCCCTGCTGGCTGTGCTTTGTTTCAACAGCGTCCCCGCCCCAGCCAGCGCCATGTCGGCCGCGGACCTGGGCTGCCCCGACAGGCCTGCCACGCGGTGTTTCTGTTCTTGGTCCTTACGCCCACCCTCTGGAGCAGGTGTACTTTGCCTGTTCAGCGTCACCGCCTGAACCGGATGCTGTCATGCGTACCCTGGTGTGCTTCGTCCTGAGGTCACGTGCACGGCTCACCAGGTCCGCGTTTCCCCTAACTTGACACCACTTGTCATGGCTTCTGTGGGGACGTCGGCTTCTTGGACAGAGGACAGTCATGTGAGGGGAGACACAGAGGTTTGCAAATCTACAGGCTGGAGTCCCGGTTATGTCTCCCAGCCACCTCTGAGGGTGCTCTTATCTCTTGCTTACAAATAGGGAAGCAGAGACTCGGAGGGGTGACGTGCTCTGCCCTACAAAGCCATGCTCTCGAGCCTGGCTCTTCTGTGCTGCTAAGGATGGCATCTGAGCTGGAAGTGGCCAGTAGGCGTCTGGAGCGCCGGTCTGCGGGTGGCCGCTGGCGAAGCCTCTGGAGGGCAAGATGGATGCAGCTCCCAGAGAGATCGCAGAGCAGAGCCCTGCTCTCTGGGAACGACTCTGACAGGCTTTCCAGAATGATGTAAATCTCCCGAGAGGCATGCTGGCGGCCTGGGTAGGACAGAACATTCTAGCATGTGAGCCCATCTCCAGGGTCCACAGACTAACTCATCAAACGTGAAATATAACCAGCACAAACAGAGGTTATTCCATTTTCATGACTAAATAAAAATGTTATCGTCTGTTTAAACTTGGCCAGTAAAGCACACGACCTTTGGGGTAAGTAACGCCCGAAGGACGTGGCCACAGGTGAGCTCAGCGGACGCTGATGTGGCCGCACCACAGGTGGGCGTGAGGTCGTAGCTCAGACGGGCCAGTGCCCCCTCGGCTGCTGGCAGGTGGCGCCGTAAGGCGCCGCTGTGACTAATGGACATCGGAGCTCGGTTTTCTGTGCCAGTTTGTCCCAGAACGCCCAGTGAGTCCATCCCAATACCGAGCTGAGTGCCGCAGGGAAGGCTCCTGGTCGATGTGGTCCAGATCTCCCTCAGTGCCTGAGCTCTAGGAGATAACCTGGAGTGAGGTGGGTGGGCTTCATCCAATCAGTGAATGCCTGAGAACAAAAAGGAAGGTTCCCGGGGCGGAGATTCTGCCCCAAGACTGCAGCGCCAGCGCCTGCCTGCCCTGCAGATTTCAGACTCATCAACACGAACCGGTTCCTTGAAATACAGAACCTATTGGTTCTGCTTCCCTGGAGAACCCTGGCCGAGAGAAGAACTCCAGTTTGGTATGTCACAGTTGACTCCGGGCCCACAGAAATCTGTCACCCTTTGCTGAAAGGGAAATTCACATCAATGGGGCAAGGCCGCTGGGGCCGTTTGGGTTTAGGAAGCCCACCTCCTTCACTCTGGGCTACCTCGTCCACACAACAAGAAGCAAGACGCACGCCTCACTCCCAATCCTAAAGATGCCTGAAGGTAAGATCTGGAAACAGGTTATGTGAAATTTCAGGCAAATAACCAAAATCTTAGATGGGACAGGGAAGAAAACAAATCTTTCCAGGTTCTAAAAACAATCATAAGACTAAAGGTATAAACAGATATATGAAGGGATTAAAAATAATTCTTCTAAATTATAGCTTCAATGTTGCAAACATTCCCAAATTTATTCCCACTCGTCTCAGTTCAACAGACGTAAACTGCTCATTGAAGAATGCATCTTAACATCTTATAGGTAGGAAAACAGTGACCAGAAGCAACCTTATAAATTATAGTTTGCTGCCCAAAGAACAGCTTTAGATTACAAGGGGAACCACGGAAGGCCCAATTACAGAAGTGACGGCTTTTCAGAACCAAGGACGATTAAGGGAGTCGGTCTGTCTGAATTTCTTGGCGAGGTGGTTTTGTCACGTCAGCTAACACAGGGATGCCTTCCCCTGAGATGATGGCCTCTACTACCAGACCAGGGCACTCTGAAGGAGGAAGATGGGAAAACTGGCACCCGGGGACGGTCCAAGTGGAAAGCGATGGGAGGGAAAAGGAAGCGGGGAGGGGTTAACTTCCGGCTTAGTTACAATATGTGCTCTTCTCATAGCAAGGCTATACTTAATTAAAAAAACCCCAAGGTTCCCGACCCAAGTGGCTGAGACTCCTAATGTCTTAATTAAAAAAATATATATATAAAACAAAAATAACTTACTGTGTAGGCAATTAATTCTGGTTGGCATAGCGATCCTCTTAAGTTAAAGGGCATGAGCAGGGATGGAGAGAAGGAAGAGGTGAAAAGAAAAGTTTGCAACAGCAAAATCAGAACGAGAGACGTAAGAGTTTGAAGCGTTTGCGTTATATACAACATGGGACGCTACTGCGCAGGACGCTTGGAAAGGTTTGTTTTTTCCTTTTTAATATTTTTCAGAATCTCCACCAATGCTTTTGTTCTTACTTGTGGTAAAATACACATAACATAAAATGCACCATCGTAGCCAGTTCTAAGTGTAGAGTTCGGTTGTATTAAGTACATTCACATATTTGTACTAGCACATCAATGCTTTGTTAAGCTAAAAATGAAACCAAATTTGAGGAATGCATTTCCTGTCTTGGCTGCATCATAACCATACGTACATTTCCAATCAGCAGGGCTCCAGGGGAATTCTAAATAGGCAGTCTTGGAAAGCTAAAGCCAACTCCTTCCTAGGACAGGGGTGCAGGTGGTTCTTGAACTGAAAAATAGGCTTCAGTTTACAAAGGAGAGAAAACCCCACAGAGCTGCCCCCTAGATCACCAGTTTGGAAGAAATTCTGGTGGAAAAGGAAAACTATTTGGTACCCATAAAGCATAATCATCTAAGGTTCTGACAGTATCTCGTAGAGATGCCGAGTGCAAATCTCTCAGGAAACAACGGAATAAAAAGCAATTTTTAAAACGCTGCCCAGTGTGTCCCTTTAAAAACTCCCGGGTCTGTGCAGCGCTAAGAGTGAGGCGCATGACCACTGGCTCAGCGTCTGTGCCCGGCCCCAGCTGCCAGGCCTCAGGATGGAGCAAAAGGCACACCTGCCTTTTGGGCACCAGGTCCCCAAGAGTGAGGGTGTCATCCACCTGGCTGGTGACGGGAGAGGAGCGGGGTGGCCAGGACACAGCAAGGACGGAAACCCAGGGGAAAGAGCTCCCCGGAAGGGACAGCAGAGGGAGGGAGGGAGGCAGGGCAGGAGGGATGGGAAGAAGGAACAGCGGTCTCCGAACGGGCCCGGGGTGGTGAGGCTCGGCCTTCCAGAATGAACGGACGGCGGGAGGGAGGGGCGGGTTCTGTGAGAAGAGGAGGTGGCCTGCTGGTCCATCAGGTCACAGATGGGGCACCCCACCTGCACTCCACCCTGCCCAGCGCCCACCTGCCTTCCTCAGGTCCAGGGGAGCCCCCTTGGGCTGCTCTGGCCCCAAGACAAAGCCCAGGCCGGGGGCACGTGCCGGGCTGTGTACCAGCGGCCGGGCCACCTTTTCCAGAACAGAAGCCAGGGAGCCACCACAGAGGGCGGTGCTCATTGCCACGCTGCTCCCGGCCGCCCGACAGGGTCCTCGGGATGAGGCGCCAAGCCCAGGTGGCAGGCAGATAGAGCCCGATCTCCATCGCAGGGTCTGGAAATCACACCCAGGAACCTGCTTCTTCCTCTCTCTCCGCCTCTTCCTTGGCTTCCACCCCGTCTGTCCCGCTCTGCTCCAGCGCGGGGGTGGGTCATGGGAGAGCCCAGGAAGCGAACGGGAAAGAGGAGGGCCAGTCAGGATGCCGACCTTCCCCGGCGGGGCTCTCGGCTCGGCCCTGGGGACGCTGGGGCCACAGGATGCTGTGGTGGGGTGCTGAGCGCCACCCCTGGCCTCCACCCACCCGAACCCCCAGCACCCTCTGCCCCCAGCTGTGCCAACTGAAACGGTCTCCAGCCATGGCCGGTGCCCCCCAGGGAGGGGGCACGATCGCCCCACGTAGGAACCACTGGTCCGTGGCACCAAGAACAGAGCAGCTCCCCAAGGTTCCCGACCCGAGTGGCTGAGACTCCTAATGTCTACACTCGCGGGGGAGCCGGGACTGCTGGTTTGGCTCCGGCCCCTGCCTGGGCTCTCCCGGCCTGTCCTCCGCACTGGGCTCTCCTATTACCGCCTGGTCGGTGGGGTCCTCGGGGAGGTGGGTGCACGTGGTGGGCACATCCCCATTTACAGAGGAGGGAGCTGAGACTCAGTGAGTCTTGAAGCCTCACATCTAGAACTGGCCCGAGCCTCTGGACTACATTCCGTCGGCAAGTATCTTCAGGTCACCATCGTGCCAAAGCACCGTCTGGGAAAAACTGCACGCGCTGAAGACATTTACAGATTTAGAGCACTGATTTAGCGCTAACGGGAAACAGTCGCTTATTCCAATGCAATGATTCCCTCAGCACTGCGCACATATTAAGTTAATGGCTAGTTTTCTAGGGAGCTCATCTCCCTGTGGACCCTGTCAGGGTTGAGTCTGGTTTGCTTTCCGTTGGTGGGGGGGAGTCTGAGAGGCACACAAGGGGAGGGGTGCCCATCTCTGCAGCGGGAAGCCCAGTCTCTGCCCGGCTGGTCTCTTTGGCTCCATCGTGGTACCTGGCTCTTGGTGACCCCTCTCAATGCTCTGGATACTTCTACTCCTGCGGGGAGGAGTGCCCAGACAGAGGAAGGGGCGCTTCTAGCCATGAACACAATTTGTCTCCACAAATGAAGAGAGATGACCCGGCCGCTCACACTGGGAAAGATTCTGAATACAGCCCGCACCCCCTACCCCTGCCCATGGGCTCTAAATGGGCTCGGATGTTCAGCGCAGGTGTTTCTGCAGGTGTAGGGGCGCTGAGGGTGGGGTGCCCTTGTAGAGGAGAAGGGAAGGAAAGCAGAGGGTGAGAACTTGCTTAGCTTGGAACTAGTAGGAGAGCAAAGCCGTGGGGCGGGGGGGAGTGGTGGGGAGTGAGGAGGGGTGGGCAGGGCGGGCACGGGAGGGGCTGGTACCTTTACGCTTCTGGGAAGTGCCCGGCTCCAGCTCAGACACACTCAGGGAGTGCTCCGACAGCTCATCCCCAGCGGGGTCCCGCGGGGTCTGGCCACCCCACGCGCCGGCCCCGGCTGGTGGCTCCTCTTCCAAGTCCCAGGAATCCAGCTCAGTCTCCTGGGGCTCCAGGGCCAGCCGGGCCCCTGCGGGGGTCTCCTTCCCCTCCTCGGGTGGGGCAGGGGCCATGGCCGCCCCTGGCTGGCCCGGGGCATCCTTCTGGCAGGTGCTGTCCATGGAGGCTGCGTACTCCAGCATCAGGGAGGCGTCGTTGTCCTGAGATAGTGAGGTCTACCCGGGGGGGTGAGAGACAAAGTCAGGGTGAGGAAGATGCCAAGGATACTTGGAAGAAGCAGCGGGCAAGGAAAAGCCTCAGCAGCCCTGTCCAAACATCCTGGCTGACGGTTTCAGCGTCAGAAGGCACCCCGGCCCTCCAAGGAGGCAGCTAAGGGAAGCATGGGCTGAAACGCAGTGGACGAAGGTCTCCTGTGGCAGAGGGTCAGCCCGAGGTCGCAGGCTGGGGGGGTCTGGGGGAAGAGCATCCTTCCTACGTATGGGATGGCAGACAGGGTGACAGAGGATGTGAGCTCCGGGGTGCCAGATTCGATTTATCTTTAACCTTTGTTCCTACAGCATTTTTGTGTTTCCTGCAAGGAGGAACTGACCGCTATGCACTTTGTATCCTAAGAGTTATATTTATATGTAAAAGAGATGTAGGTGCTTGGGGGTGGGAAAGTGGTTCGCTGGAGGGCAGGAAAGTGACTGCAGGGACATGGCGGGGGGGGGGGGGTACCTGGGGGCCGGTCTGCTGTTCCTGATCTGCGTGGCAGTTGCACAGGAGAGTCTGCTAAGTGACAGGTGACAACTGCCCTTTTCTGAGCCAAGTCAGAAGTGCCCACTGACTCAGTTTGGGACAATTTTATCATCAGCAAAGATATTAACTGCAGTCGGTTGGATGGACTAAATGATCTAGAATAAAATCTCAGAGAAGGCACAGAGGAGGAGACGGTCACGAGCCTTGCCCTTATTTCACTCATTTATTTATTCATCCTAAAGAAAACCCAGACATTGGGCCAGGCGCTTCCAGGGACGCCATCGCCCCCTGCTGGCTGCCTCTGGAAGCGCACGCAGGTAAGCCCAGAGACTCACCCGGCCCCTGGACACTAAGGCCACATTGGTGACTCACCTCTGGCGCCTCCCAGGACCTGTTCTGGCCCCTCTCCCAGTAGCCAAGGGGTCAACTGTCATCATGCCCTCCCGCCCCACCCTCTCATGCCCTCAAAGTATCAACCCACCCTCCGTGTCTAAAAATTCATCTTCCTCATCTCTCTCCCAGCTACCCAATGTCCCACCCGCCCCTCCATTGCTCACATTCTCCTTGCTTGTTCTGAAACGTTAAAAAGAGTAAGGGACTGTAATGTGGGCCCTTGCCTGCCCGGCGTCCGCCAGGGACGCCTCGCACCCGCCAGCTGCTCTGGACAAAGGTCACAGAGCAGGAGAAGGAAGCAATGGGGGTCAGGATAAGTTTTAAAACAAGCTTCGTTTCTCTGATCGTGAAAGGCATAAACATTCACTGCGGAATGGAAACGCTTTGGAAACGTGCAATGTGTGAAGTGAAAGCTCCCCAGGATGGGGCAGCCATGAGGGTGGAGGTTCTGCCCCAAAGGGGAGTTGACATCACGCTGGTCTTTTCTCTTTCAATAAGTTTTCTTCACATGATTCACCAACCTCTCGACAACCAAAGCATCCCCGGTCAGAAACTTTCAAGTTTCCTTCCTCAGCAGGATAAGCTGCGTCACGAATGACCCCCCGTGGGTGAGGGAATGTAAGCTGACATTTGGGGGTGGAGCTCGCCGGAGCTGATCAAGGGCCGGGGCGGGCTGATGCGGGGCGAGTGGCAGAGGCTCACCTTGGAGACCCCAGATATGACGATCGTGCTCTTCTTCCGCGGGGATTTGAGCTTCAGCTTCGAGGACTCGCTGAGCTGTCGGATGGCGACTTCGGCCACCGGGTCGGCACCGCTCAGCACCAGTAGCTCTGCCGGAGGAAAAGCGGGCGTGAAGCACGTTAACAAAATCTGAAGCTTTGGCAGGAACTTCTGCGGCGACAGATCTGGTCTTTAAGCAGGGGTTGGCAAATATTTTCTGTAAAGGGCCAGACAGTGACTTCATGGGCAGCCGGCCCGTCACAAGTACTCCACGCTGACTTGGAAGCTAGGAAGCAGAGGCCAGATGTCAAAGTATCCACGGCTGGGTTCTGGGGAAACTTCATGAGCAGGACAGGTGACGCCCCTGGGTCTGGAGCTGATGCTCTGTGGTTACACACACTCACCGGGGTGTACGCTTCAAATCATGCACTTTAATGAATGTAAATATGCCTCGACTGAGGTGAAAAACAGAAACCTCTGAGCTTTGGGGAGACTGTGAACTTTGAAAGGCAACGCAGCTACTCCCTGGCCCTCCCAGGAGTGGTCGAACACAAAAACTAGTGTTCAGGGTGACCGGGGGCTGGTTCACAGAAGCTGCTTCTTCCCAGGGTTAATTCCACACCCGGGCCAACATCCGGGGAGGGCTTAACACGGACCTGTGCCCTGCAAAGAGCTCCGTGCACATTATTCCAGGTAATTAACCCCAAGTCCTCTGAGGGAGGTGCCTTTCAGTTTCCATTTGAGAAGTGGGGCAGGTAGGAGACAGCCAGGTGGGCGGCGGAGCTGAGATGCCCGGCCAGGTCTCTCCCACTCAGAGCTGATGCTGGAACTCACACTAAAGTGTCTGCTGCTGTAGAAAGATGAAAAGGACAATGGGATTAAGGGGCAGGATGTTACCTGGAACTTTTTCTCAGTCAGGCCTCGACCCGCTGACAACAGATGCCACATTTTGTGTGTGTGTGTGTGTGTGTGTGTTTGTGTGTGTGTGTGTGTATATTTTAACGACTTAAAACATACATTGATATCCCACAAAAGGAAGATCAACTTTTTTTGGTAAACATATACACATAAAACTTTATGATAACTTTCAGTTAAACAACAAAACAATTTATGATATCAACTCAAAGTAGTAAAGGAATTTTAATTCCTGAGAATGTTTTTTACAGAAAAAAATTTCTCAACTTAGAACTTCCTAGAAAATGTCTAGGTCAATGCCAGGAGGGTTTGGAAAGGCCCTTAAGAGAAGGCCAGCCCAGCATCTTTCTCGGAAGTAGAGGTGGATTTGGTTTCAAGAAACTAGGCCTGTTGGAAGTGATAAAATGGAAGAAATCCTTTAGGAATCACTGGATGTAAGATACTATTAAAATCTCTCTAAAAACACAGATGCTACATTTCCCAAGGCAGTAGCGAGGGACCAAGCGGCTGAGAACTCTGTGGCTGCCGACCCGGGGGGGAAGAGCGGGATGTGGTGAGGACGCCTGGGGAGAGGGCTGCGCTGTGAGCCCCAGGCCTTGGGACACCAGTCGGGAGGGCGCGGAGCCCAGAGCTTCTGTCCCTCCTCAGCGAGCCCGTCCAGGTGCCAGCTGTGCCTGAGGAAGCTTGCAGGGCTCCTGGCTGCACGGTGCGGGCTGGTGCCAGCACCCACAGACCAGAGGGGGAACCACAGCAGGGATGTCAGCCTGGGGTGAAGGTGCCCCCGTGGTACAAAGCAGAGCTGAGACAGGGCCCCCAGGAGCGGCCAATGAGGGGCATTGCTTCTGTCTAGGATTTTGCAGCTGGGGGGGTCCTGCAGCTTCCAAACAACCAGGGAAGCTCCCACAGGGAAAGAGGCAGTTTTCCACTTCCGCCAGGTTCGGAGAACACACGGCCATCCCAAGACAGCAGCCATCACGTGAGAGCTGCCTGCCCACTGCCTATCCCTCCCTGTCCTGTTCTTGACATTGGCAGGGTCAGGAACAGGACTCAGTGGACAGCGGTGGGGAGAAGCTGCCCACCCAGCCCTTCTTAGACTGCAGGTCACACGTGAGCGAAGGGAGAAAATTTAACCCCCAAATTTAGATGATGCTCTGATTCCAAGAGACAGTGACACAGGCGACCATAAAAGTGGGAAATCTGCATTCAGAGTTCCAGGGGAAACTAATCCTATTAAACAGGTTTCAGGGGACAGTGGGGGACAAGATAAAGTTGCCTTTATGATTATGGCCCCTGAGTCCTGCTTATTTTATGACATCTGTGGAACTAGTACGTTGAACAAGAGAAAAAATAACATTCAGAAATTTTACACAGTGAGGCATGAGCTAGCTTTTTGTGCTTATTTTGTTCAAGTGTTCCCTAAAACTTAAGGCAGGGATGCCAACGCCACACCTGGTCTTCCGTCGACTTCCATTTCCCTTCTCTCCTTCTAGTTAGTTCCTCACTTACTATATTAAAACACCTCTCCCCAAACTCTAAAAAGGGAAAGCGTCCTTCTCACCAGATGCGGGGCTCGAGGGCAGAGCCTGAAGGAGCTGAGCGGGGACCGTCTCGAGTGGCCTTGCGTTACCTGTATCTGAGGAAGAGAACATCTTGCTGACGGGGGCGCCGTGGCAGGAGATGGCCTGGATGGAGATGTCCTTCTCGATGACCTTCACCTTGACAGGCGTTCTCAGGGGAGATTCTGCCCGGGAGACATCCTGATTACAACAGCCCTCCGAAAGCTGTCTGACTCTTACAGTTACCGGGAAGTGAAATCACACCACACTTCAACTCTACTTCATGCAGTTGGAAAAGGTAAGAGGCAAACCTTAAGATATTTTCAACAACCTCTCTGATTCTTTTTTCGGGGAGGGGAGGAATGCCCAAAAGGGGCATTGGAAGCGCAGGTTTAAATAAAGTTTCAGAAACCTTTTGATTAAGCCGGAATCTCACTTTCTGTTTTGCATTCAAGAACAGTGCCAGGTGATTTATTCTGGGATGATAATACTTTTGTACAGGCAGGAACACATTATAAATTAAAAAAAATAATAAATCATACACTTATACAGAAGTTGTCTCCAGGGCGGTGGCCATGGGGACAGGTACAGAATTAGGCTAGATCGAAAATGACTGCACGTCAAGCCTTCGAATGAATGGCTTTTTTAACATAAGAAACTCTATGCTGGCCATTCACATCTAATGTTTCAAGATAGTGTGCTGTCCCCACGTAAACGTCATGGAGTACTTAATGTAACGGGATATTTCATCTAGTATCCAGATTTTACCTTCAGAATTCACTACAGGTTTGAACCTTGCTTTGGCTTGTCATGTGTCTGACAAGATAGAAAGATAATTGTCTGAAAAAAAAAAAGCTATGCAGAAGCCTTGCCAATTACCATTCTTCCCGTACCAGGACATTTTCTTACAGATAATCCTGCAGCCTACAGTGCTCTGCAGTTTATAGAGGCAAGACATTTACAGGGGAGGCGTGACTTCAGAGTTTCTGCGGGGAGGAAACTCACCGGAGCTCAGCGGGGACGCCCTCCCTGCATCGAAGCGAGGCTTGGTTTTCACGGCAGTGACAGTAGTGACCACGGTCCCGCACGGCATCACCGTGCGGTCTTTTTCTATCTTTGCAGCAGGAACAGATGGAGGCATTTGCCAGGATTTCGCTTCACCGGGTTCGATGTAAGAAAACTGCAGAGAGGGCTGGTTACATGCTTGGTAGTCAGCGCAGACGGACACCCCGCCATGGCACGCTGCCTGCCTTTGCAATAACCTCTGATTTCTTTGGCTGCCGCTTAGTATCATAAGTAACTTATAATTAACCGATTTCCCTGGAACTGACACAGGATGAGACCCAGGCTCAAACCCGGCCACTCAGCACATAATGATGGGAACAAAAGCTGGAGAACCAAACGAAATAAAAGAGCCCTTTCTGGGTTAGGCCTGCGTGAAAGGGCATCACGGAAAGTTACGTCAGATAGACAGTGCAACGCAACCCTGGGCAGGAAGCAACCCATTCATGTCTAGAAATGCCTGGGAGGAAACATCAGGTCTTGGACAAGCTTCTTGCTTTACGTTGAAGCGAGGGCAAGATCCTGACAGACATAAATGAAGATGTCCCTTTTCTCGAGTGGGTTGAGCTGGGCCTTGGCATCGTAGAGAATGACGTCATACCTCTGCAGTGACCGAACCCAATGCTGAGCTGCCCGAGGAGGACCCGCTGGTCAGCGTAAAGCTCTGTGGCCCAGAAGGCTGCTTCTTGAACAAATCCAAGGGGACAGTCGTCATCGCCAACAGAGCTAAAGGGACAGGGGACAAACAGGGAACATCGGGGGTGTCTCCATGGGGTTCCACAGGAACAGGATGCCCGCGAGCGGCTGCAACCAGAACCAACTCTGGACACACGCCCCGCTCACTGGGAGATGCTCCCAGTTTCAGAAAGTTTTAGAAAAGTCAAGGTCATAAAAGACAAAGGAAGGCTGTGGAACTGTTCCAGACCAAGGGAGGCTACAGATGTGACAATCAAGAGGTAGTATCTGATCCTACACAGGACTGGGAAATACTGCTAGGAAGGACCTCAGGGGCTTGGCTGATGGGAACTGGAATCTGGGCAGTAAAGAAGTGGACCAGTGTAACTCAGGAAGCTGATAACTGTGCTGTGGACAAATAATATCCCTACTCTTAGGAAATACGCACTAAAGAATTTAGGGTAAAGGGCCAGGATGCCCGAAACTTACACTCACATGGTTCACACATTTACCCTCGGGGTGTGTGTGTGTGTGTGTGTGTGTGTGTGTGTGTGTAGACAGAGAGAGCAAAGTGAGAGCAACCAGCAATTGTGAGTACAAATAATAAATGAAATGGGGCAAAATGTTAAAAATATATGAGCCTGAGGAAAGGTTATAAGGTTGTTGTTTGTTCTGGGTTTTTTTTTTTTTTTTTTAAGTTTGAAATTTCATAGATCCCATCAGGCTGGACTGGAATGAAATTCCAATGGAGCCAACAGGGGTGGTGCCCCAGGAATGGATTAGGCAAACAGTGGTTCCGCCCTGTGTTCAGACCACACGTCCTCTCTTGAAATGTCAGTTCTTATCTCAGGAGCATCCGAGTTATCTCTAGACTACAGAACCAGGGAAACTGCCTCAAAAATCCTTGCTAATACCTAGGAGTTTGAATTGTTTTTCCCTATGCCTTTGTAACTGTAGGAGGTAACCAGATGGCTAGGTTTCACAGCTGAATAAGTCAGGGAAGGGTCACCTCTCCCAATTTTGGTATGTTCATAGGGATTCCTAAAAACCTAATAAATACTGAAACTACTGATTTACACACATACACACCAGGTCCATGCTCACTTTAGTGATTTTTACCTCTATTTGTTGCTGACTTGTATCTAAAGCATGTGTCCAAGTTAAGCTGCTATGGCTTATTCTACAAGGAAAAGTCAGCTGTAATTCATGGAGACAGAGAGCAGAAGGGTGGGGGCCAGGGGCTGAGGGAGGGGCCTGGGGAGCGAGTGTCTAATGGGGACAGAGTTTCGGTTTTGTAAGATGAATTCTGGAGATGCATGGCGGTGATGGTTGCACAACCATGTGAATGCACTTAATACCACTGAATTCTACACTCAAAAGTTGCTAAGATGGTAACTTTTAAGTTATATGTATCAACACAATTAAAAACTGAAGAAAAAAAATAAAAGTAAAAGGTCTATTAAGGCTAAGAGGGTTGAGAACTGCTCTAAGCCAAGAACTGTTGAATAAAAGATTTTTGATATTTGTTTAAAAAAAAAAGAAAAAGAAAAAGAAAAGAACCAGTTGAATATACTTTCCCAAAATGTTTGACCTTGCTAATAACAGAATGGACTTCCAACCAAACATTCCCTTGGGAAGACCTGGAGTGGCTTAGGGGGAGGGGCCGAGGCTCTGCTGGGTCTCCCGCCCTCCCCACCCCAAGGCCCTGGTCAGGGCCACTGGATGACCCTCCCAGAGAGCAGGGTCTCCGTCTGCCTGCCGACCACCCACCTTCTGAGGATTGCCCATCCTCTGAAATCTGCAGGTGCAACTCCCTCGACTTGGCATTCAACTCACTGTGGAAAGGAAGAAGGGCCATGAATCCTTAAAAATGCTTTACTATTTTCTTGAAATAGTATTTTTTTTCCTGATGATAGAAAGGAATGCAAATCACCATCAATATTTAAGAAACAACAGAGATATATAACCAAAATACAAAGATTATCTGCAACTTCACCATCCAGAAATAGTTAATGTTAATATTTGGTGACTAGTCTCCTAGGGTAATCCAATGGGACTTTCTGAATGATGGTGGAAATGTTCTGTAAAGCTGCTATCAAATTCGGTGGCCACTAGCCACATACAGCTATTTAGAACTTGAAATGAGGCCAGTGCAAACTGAGGAACTGGGTTTAATTTTGTTTGCTTTCAATTAATTGAAATTTAAAGAGCTACCTGTGGCTGGTAGGTACTGTATTGAAAGATATAGCCATATAGTTGTCTGAAAACAAATATAGAACATAACATACCTCTCTCCTCCTTTGTAACCTATTTTTTTCACTTAAGATATCATGGACATCTTTCCATGTCAATAACTACAGAGCAACATCCTTTTTAACAGGTGTCTAGTATTCCACTATCTGGCCTTAAAAGATTTTATTCAGCCAGTTCCTTAATAACCAACCCTTAATAATGGGTTGTTCCCAATATTTTGTAACTATAAACAAGCTGAGATAAATATCCTCACACATATATCTTTGCACACACTGTGTGATTATTTCCTTAGGAAAAGAGCAATTGCCAATCAAAAGGTACATGCATATAAGAGATTTTCTTTTTTTATACATATTGATGACCTCCAGAATGATTATTCTAATATATACAGTATTTCCACTGGCTTTTCTCACTTTTTCTTTACCAACCTATAAGGCGAAAAACAATCTCTTTTGTTTAAGTTTGCATTACTTTAGCTATTACTGAGATTGAACATCTTTTCAGATGTTTCTGGCTATCTACGGCTCTTACTTTTGCTTTTCTAGTACAGAAGTTTTGCCCAATTTTCTAAGAGAGTGCTCATATTTTCATTAATAATTTATAAAGGCTCTTTATATTATACATGGGACACCTTCTTCCATTACTTCTTCTAATTATTGTTTACACACCAGAAAGTGATTGATTTCTGTATTTTTGTACTCAGCTACTTTACTGAAATATTATTTACATTAGTTTTTATAATATTATTATTTCTACCCTATATTCATTATTTCTAATAGCTTCAATTGATTTTCTGGAGTAGTCTAAATATGCAATAATATTATCTCCAAGTAATGATTAGTTTTGCCTCTTATTTGTGTACTATTTCTTTTTCTTATCTAATTGCATTAACTAGTACTTCTAGAACAAAACAGTTGGTATCCTTCTCTTGACTTTAGTGGGACTGTTCCTACTACTTATCACTTACAGTGATTTTTTGTTTTTAATCATATGAAAAAAGTGACCATAAATCTTGTTCTAATTAAGTTTTAAAAATTAGAAATGGTTATTAAATGTCACTGAATATCTTTTGGGCATACAGAGAAATAATAAGTTTGTTTTCTCCCTTGATCTAGTGACACAGTGGATTTCATTAATAGATCTCATCACATTAAACCATCCTTGCATTTCTGGTATGAACTCAGTCAGTCTTGGTATATTATTTTTAATGTGCTACTGGATTCTATTTGATAATACATTAGTCAGAATTCCTACATCATAATTTGTAAGTGGTCTACAATTTTCCTTTTTTCCATTCTCTTTGTCAGATTTTGGTATCAATCAGAAGTTTCCTTCCATTCTGCTCTGGAAGGTGTGCGTTTCTAAAGCAAGTGTGGAAGGCCCAACAACAGATCTCTCGTCACAGCAGGGCGTGGGTATGTAGGTGAGGAGTGAATCGATACTAAGAGCTGCCTTCAAAAAGAAATCCATGTCTGACTTACAGCTTCCTTCGGTGCTTAATATATTTCTTTTTAATTTTTTATATTTCCTTTTTTCCTCCCTCCCTCCCTCCCTTCCTTCCTCCCTCCCTCCCTTCTTTTGTATGAACAGTGCTGCAGAATGGTTTTAGAATTTGGCAGTCTTGAGTAGGTGTGGCCATGGAAACCCGGGCCCCTTACGCACAAGGTGAATTCTTCTTCCCAGGTGAGGGTGGTAGTGTTTTTCGAGAGGGTGCTGGAGAACTTCTGGATGGGATCATTCAGCTGAACTACACATACTGGGTTAATGTTGCCTGTAATCAAACAGAGGGGCACCATATTGGCTTTTATTTTTGTTTTCTAGTTGCATTAAGACATTTTGCATCTAAAAGAAAGGCCGAGTTAAATGTCTGGTCTTGGCTCACTGGACCTGTGGCTCAGAGGGTCCAGTGTTCCTTTCATTTGCCATTTACAAACTCTCAAAGCACCTCATCTGGGGATACTCACTGGATGTCCACAGCCCCGGGCTGCCCCAAGTGCCCCTGCTCCCCCCTCGGTTCTGACTGCAGGCACAGCTCTCTGGTGAGGGCCCTTCCTGGGGGCAACATTACTCCAGCAGAGATGTGGGCCTCACTTTGGACAAAACTAACAGCTTGGAAAAGGAAGGGCATCTGGGGTAACTGCTAAATCTGGGGATACCTCCCAGAGAACCCATTTCCCTCTTACAAAGATGTAGGTTTGTTTTTTTTGCTTTTGTTTTTTTTTGTGGTACGCGGGCCTCTCACTGTTGTGGCCTCTCCCGTTGCGGAGCAACAGGCTCCGGACGCGCAGGCTCAGCGGCCATGGCCCACGGGCCCAGCCGCCCCGCGGCATGTGGGATCTTCCCGGACCGGGGCACGAACCCGCGTCCCCTGCATCAGCAGGCGGACTCTCAACCACTGCGCCACCAGGGAAGCCCAGGCCTAACTCAGCTCAGTCAAAACTTTTGGAGGTATTTGATCCAGATAACAGGACATTTCACTAGTGAACAATTGTGTCTGCTTCGAGGCAATGCTTGACCCATGGCAGAAAGCCGTGAATATACTGTGTAATCAATAATCAACGGTAGGGCTTCCCTGGTGGCGCAGTGGTTGAGAGTCCGCCTGCCGATGCAGGGGACGTGGGTTCGTGCCCCGGTCTGGGAAGATCCCACATGCAGCGGAGCAGCTGGGCCCGTGAGCCATGGCCGCTGAGCCTGCGCGTCTGGAGCCTGTGCTCCGCAACGGGAGAGGCCACAGCAGTGAGAGGCCCACGTACCGCAAAAAAAAAAAAAAAAAAAAATTCAACGGTAAAGGACTGGAATATGTTGGCCCTTTACCGTGTACCAGGTGGTGTTCGGTGTTCTACACACATCATCTTACTAACCACCACAGTCACTCTCAAGGAGAGATTCTGACTCCGATGGGGACCTGCTGGCAGAGGTTAGAAATTGGGACCCCAACCTTGGCGGACTGGGTCCCGGGAGCCCCTCCCGGCCGCTAAGCGGCGTGGCCTCAGGGGGCGAGGTGTGAGTTACCAAAACACCACCCATACCCAGCTTCATTCACAGAGTTTCTAGGTAGTTCAGTGTGTCCTACCTGCACTTCTGGAACAGGAGGAAACTCCCCACAAATAAATATAAGTAACCCCGATGTTCTCAGACAATACAAAGAACTCATCGCTACTCTTAGCAAAAACCACACCACAGTGGAAAGATGTGTCCGGTCCCAGGCTACTAGGCATCCGGGGTCTCAGCACTGACTCAGAATCACCGAAAAGGAATCACCCATTCTGCAATGTTTCTGTCTTGTCTCCATAGCAGCCTCTCTGGGCAACACAGGGTTCCCGGTGGGCCCAAAGCCTTCCGGACACCCATAATCCCCCCAGGTGGCACCCCCCTTCCACAGGAGGAAGCAAAGGCCACGGACAACCCACAAGGCACCTCCTCCCCTCTGCTCACACTGCAGACGGTCACATCCACAGCCAGCCGGGTGCCCTGCCCTCACCTGGGTGCCCCTGCCACGCCACCACCCACCTGAAGCACCAGGATGGCTCAGCAGCGAGGCTCGAATATTCTTCACCAATAGTTTGAGCTCATGAGCCCTTGGAGGTTTGGGGGGGCAGGATTCCTGAGTAGATGAAGTGCGCTGCAGGTGCTGCAAAAAGGAAGACAAAGAACGGTGAGCCGTGGCAAAGAGGCCGTGGCCGCTGGACACCTGCTACGCGGAAGGAATCTTCAAGAAAACCTCCAGAGGGAGCCTGGCTCCCAGGCCTGCTCTGTAACAACTGGGGAGGGAGGGTACCAGTCACCCACAGCTGCTTCCCCTCCTTGGGAGCCTTGTACATCCCACAGAAAGCGAGCGAGGGAGTTAAGCATTCACCCAGAGAGGACTCCCCTGAATCTCACTGTGGGTGGAGATGGGGCCACGCGTGACCCAGGGAAGGAGCTTGAGACAGAGTGGGGCGCCCTCCCTGGGATGCAGGGGCCCACTGCCCACTAGCACTAAGTGTGACACCAGCCAGGACACTGGCTACTTCCCACCTCCTGGCAGACCTGCCATCCACGTGGGGAGGATCTAAGTGTCATCCAGGTGCCACGCTAGGGACAAAGCAGAGGCAGGTACCCCTTGAGCCTGCTTCATCACCATATCCTCAAATGGGCATCAAGGTGTTTCCAACAGAGAGCCTCCCCAAGCTTGTGGGACCTCACCTTCAGACCAGCCTTTCTCAAGCTAGCTTCCACCTCCCACTCATGGCTACGAGTGTTATTTACAAGGGGCTCCTGAGGTACAAACATTTGGGAATCCTGGGAAAGCTTCTCAGAGACATCACAGGCCTCTGCACAGCGAGCGCCTCCCAGGGAGGGATCCTAAGAGCTGATCTGACCTCAGAGTGCTTTTGGGGTGGGGGATGCTTACTAACATCTCAAGCGACTGTAGTGTTCTTTAGGTCACCACCTAGAAAACATGATTCTGAGCCAGGGCAGGGCCTTGCCCACTGTGAGCTGAAGGTGCTGGGAGGCCAAGAAGTAATCACAGAAGTCCTCAAGACCCAGGTCCCTGTGCACTGGGGACAGAGCAGCCCACATGTCTGGGGCAGAGATGCAATGTTTTCTCAATTGCTATGCGTGATGGCTAATCTTATGTGTTGACTTGACTGGACCATGGGGTGCCCAGCATGTGGTCAGACGTGATTCTGGGTATGTCTGCGAGGAGGTTTCTGCCTGAGATTTACATTTAGATCAACAGACCGTGGAAAGCAGATTGCCTTCCCCACTGCGGTGGGCCTCGTCCAATCAGGTGAAGGCCTGAATAGAACAAAGGGCTGACTCTCCCTCAGATAAGAGGGAATTCCTCATGCCTGACTGCCTTAGAGCTGGGATATCCATTTTTCCCTGTCTTTGGACTTGAGTGGAAACATCAGCTCTCCTGGGTCCCAGCCTGCTGGCTTCTCCTGCAACTCTTGGAGCTTGTCAGCCTCTGGCATGAGCCAACTCCCTAGAATAAGTCTCCTTATATATATAAATATATATATTTTATACATAAATATATAATTGGCTCATGCAGTTATGGAGGCTATTTTATACATACACACACACACACACACACACACACACACACCCATTGGTTCCGTTTCTCTAGAGAACCCTAATATAATATGCATGTTATTTTGATACATACACTCTACAAATGTACTTAAAAGCATTATTGAATTTATGGTAGTCCTGGTCCCTTTATTTTCTGAATCAGTGTATTCTAAAAATGCAGTACTATTTTGTGACGTTTCTCAAATTTTGACATTAAAAATGTATAGTCATATTCAAAACAGGCAGCTCTGATTTGAACTAAGCCACCAGGATAGAATTACTGAAAGAGAGAACAGCCAAGCCTCTGCTCTCGCCTCTGGGAAGCCTGGCCTGACCCCCCATCTCTGGGCCGAGCCCCACCTGGCGGCACAGCCCTGGGAACCCTGCGCGCACACCCACAAACCCCTCCCTCTGCTCGTCTGCTTACTCAGCTGCTCCTCTGCTGCATCAGGTTTCTCATGTTCTGATAACCTTCAACACCCAGAGCGAACCACAAAGCACTGTGATCCCCTGATATCTGTGCAGTGAATCAAAGAGATTTTGTCTCCAGGCTCTACACATTCACAGTGGTGATGCCCTAACAGGAACCAGAGACCGAGAGCCTGCATCAAAAAATCATATGAAAAGTTATACTTTAGGGACTTCCCTGGCTCTCCAGTGGTTAAGACTTCGCCTTCCAAGGCAGAGGGTGAGGGTTCGATCCCTGGTCAGGGAGCTAAGATCCTACATGCCTCGTGGCCAAAAACCCAAAACATAAAAAACAGAAGCTATACTGTAATAAATTCAATAAAGACTTAAAAAAACAAAAAGTTACACTTTCACACTGACTTCACCCCCCACTATATAATAACAGTGGATAATCTACCATGCCACATAAAAATACTGGAAAGACATAGGAAAAATAACTTCAGCGACTGTAAATGTATGTTTTGCATAGTCATCACGAAAAGATCTGCTCATTACTGGGAGAATTAATTGACCTCAAGCCAAGGGTTTTAGATGTGTCGCCAAAAGAGATGTGCGTGACCAAGCCCAGGGAGGCTGTCCTGGGCGAATGCCCTGGACGTGAATTTAGCCAGAGAATTGGCACCTAATTGGGCAGTGGGGAGGGCCCCAGCATGGGGAGGGGGGTCGTCAGCGTGGGAAGGACCCCACAGAGGAGATGGCCTCATGTGTCCGCACTGCCTGAGGGCGACAGACCCCTGAGAGGCAGTGTGGACGGAGGCTGTCCCCGTCCTGGGCTAAAAGTCTGTGGGTCCAGTGCGCTCACCCTGCCTGCCTCGGGGCAGTTCCCAGGTACTTTAGTTCTGCAAGGGTGCGATCCCAGACAACAGGCTCTGGGGGCACAGCGAAAAGTCAAGTTCTGGTTCCTAAAAGGAGAGGATCTGGGCTACTTCGGCTTGGACTCTGCTGAGTGGGCCAGACTCCTCTTCCTTTCCTCCCATGGGGCTTCGGAACCCTGTGCCCTGAACTCAGAGCTTTGCCCCAGACCGTGGTCATCACCCACCAGCAAGCGACCGTGCAATCTCGCTCTACCGTGGGGGGGTGGGTGGAGGCAAGGTGCAGGGATGGGGGGCGACGTGGGAAATGCACACAAATTCTCTAGGCGGGTGGACCACGGTCCTTCAGGGGGTCATGAAACACCCACAACCCAGTGAACTGGTTTACCTGAACTCCCCTCACATCCGTAGGCTTTGTGCTCAGAACCGCTGATGGGGACGCAGAGCTAACCAGGTGCTTCACAACATCCTTGAGACTTTCAGAGACTGCATCTGCCCCAACCGCCGGGTCCTGCCGAAAGAGGAGGGAGTCACCAAACCAGCTCGTAACCAGGCACGTGTACAAGTGGGCAAGCAAATGCATGGCTCTCCAGATGTCCCTGGGACAAAACAGACTTGGGGTCACCAGGGCTCCAGGAGATCAGACTAGGACAGTGAGACACTCACTCACTCTTACCTTTGCTGATCTCAGAAGTCATTCATCCTCCTTGTTGTTTTTTTTTTTGTTTGTTTTGTTTTTTGCGGTACGCGGGCCTCTCACTGCTGTGGCCTCTCCCATTGCGGAGCACAGGCTCCGGACACGCAGGCTCAGCGGCCATGACTCACGGGCCCAGTCGCTCCGCGGCATGTGGGATCTTCCCAGACCGGGGCACGAACCCGCGTCCCCTGCATCGGCAGGTGGACTCTCAACCACTGGGCCACCAGGGAAGCCCCATCCTCCTTGTTTTTAAAAGTTAAAGATAAGACGTGTGCAACATAGACATGTGTTAACATTTCTGTGTATATCTTTTCAGTCCTTTCCTGTAAACATACAGGCACACGTTTTTTCTTTCTTGCCTGATGTTTGATTTTTTTTTTTTTTTTTATTAAAAGGTAGTCAAGGGACTTCCCTGGTGGTCCGCTGGTTACAACGTCACCTTCCAATGCAGGGGTTGCGGGTTCAATCCCTGGTTGGGGAGCTAAGATCCCACATGCTTTGCGGCCAAAAACAAAACAAAACAAAACACCAAAACATAAAAGAAGAAGCAATCATGTAACAAATTCAATAAAGACTTTAAAAATGGCCCACATCAAAAATAAATAAGAAGAAAAAAAAATAAATGGTATTCAAGTAAATGGAAAGGCTCAATAAAAATGAAGACAAGCTTGTAGAAGAATAACACAGCAGGATGACTTGCATCACCAGGTGTCAAGCTCTATAAGGCTACAATTAATACCCAACAGAAACACGCTCATGTGTCCTAGAATGTTCAGAGCACCACTATGCATAATGACCCCAAACTGGAAACTACCTAAGTATCCATCAATACCTGAACAGATACACAAGTTCTGGTGCAGTCACACAATGGAATACCACAGGGCGATGAGCACAAACAATGTACAAGCACACACAAAGACACAGATGAATCTCACAGACATAATGTTAAGTGAACGAAACCAAACACAGAAAAACACATACACAGTACTGCATGATTCCTTTATTTAAAGTACCAAAACAAGCAAAACTAAGCTAATGCTGTTTGTGGGCAGAATCCTAAGATGACTCTCAACGAGTCATGTTCTGCATCGTCCCCTCGCCTTGAGGGCAGGTGGCGCCCGTGACTTGCTTCCAGCCAACGGAATACGGCAAAGTGATGTGATGGCCAAAGGTCATGTTATATACAACTCCCTCTTAGCAAACCAGAGCAAGAGATTCTCCTCCTAACCTTGAAGAAGTCAGCTTCCACGTGTGAGGGGGCCACATGGCACAGAACCGCAGGGCTTCAAGGAGCTGAGAGCAGCCCCAGCCCACAGCCATCAAGGAACGGAGGACCTCAGTCCTACAACCACAAGGAACCGAGTTTTGCAAACGACCATAGGAGACTGGAAGAGGATCCCGAGCTCTAGGAAGGACAGTCAGCCCAGACCATGATGACAGCCCATGAGACCCCGAGCAGGGGACCCAGTTAAGCCTGGACTGACTGACAGATACTATGAGGTAAATGTGTGTTGTTTCACGCTGCTGGGTTTGAGGTAATTATTAGTTGCAAGCATAGATAAGTCATACGTGTTAGAAGTCAGGAGCATGGTTACCCTTTGTAGGGGCTGCAGGTAGTGAGTGGAAGCGGGTAGGCGGGGGTTTTCTGGGGAGCTGACCCTGCTCTGTTTGTGGCGCTGGGCACTCATGAATGGTCAGTGCGTGAAAGCTTCAATCAGCTGCGTGCTTACAATATGTGCACTTTTCTGCATATCTTATCTCTCATTTTTTAAGCAAGGAGGATCTATTTTTTAAAATCTCAGTTGAAAGCCTTGTTTAAATATAATAGCTTTTGTTTTGAACTCTTAAAAGCTGGATCTGGCTGGACACTTGCTAAAAGAAAATGTCGAACCCTGCCAGCTCTGCTGCCATCCACGCCATCATTCCGTGGTTTCAGGAGAGCAGCTGCAGTGTGGTGAGTGCCGGTGCTCGGCCACCCTGGCCGTGATTCTGGCTCTGCCATTGACGGCTCCAGGGCCCTCTGTGTCCGTCGTCACTTCTGGTGTAAATGTCCCCACTGTGGGGCTCCAGCCCCCCCCTGCGCAGGGGGATGGACACTGGCAGGACTTGATTTCCACCAGGACCACAGACCTATTGAAAAATCTTCCAACTTGCGGGGCTGGAAGTGATTTCAGAAATTGGTCTGTGGTGTCCCAAGGACAACCAGCTGGCCAGGCCTTGTTACAGCAAACTTCGGCCAAATCTGCCATTTACTGAAAATCTACTCTCTCTGCCAGGAACTCTAAACTACTAATAATCAAAATGGCTCACACTTACTCCACTCTTAGGATGTGTCAGGCTCGATGCTACGCACTTACACATACTAACTAGTTTAATCCCCACAACCACGTTGAAAATCATCATCCCCATTTTACAGATGAGGAAACTGAGGCACAGAGAAATTAATTAGCATGTGTGGGGTCTCGCAGCTCATAAGTGGCAGAGCTGAGAGTTAAGCCCAGGCACTAAGGCTCCAGGGTCTGCACTGAGAACCGCTCCGCCATCATCTTTCTCTTATTGCAATAGGTTCTTGATACCCTTATTTTTAAACTGAGGTGAATTCACATAACATAAATGTAACCATTTTAAGGTATGCATTTCAGTGGTGTTTAGTACATACATACACGGTGTTGTAAAACTATCACCTCTATCTAGTTCCAAAATATTTCCATCACCTCCAAAGTAAACCCTTTACTCATTAGCAGTCACTCCCCAGTCCTCCCCACGACAGCCCCTGACAGCCACTAATGTGCTTTGCATCTTCATGGATTTGTGTATTCTGGGTATTTCATAGAAATGGGATCATATGACATGGTCATTTATGTCTGGCTTCTTTTACTGAGCACAGTGTTTTCAAGGTTCATTCATAATCTAGCACATATTAGTACTCCAATCTTTTTAACGACTGAATAATAGCCCATTTATGGATGTACTGCACTTGGTTTATCTATTTCTATCTCTTTTAACCCGCACATTTCTCCTCACTTGACAGAGGAGGAAGCCAAGGGGGAAAGATGGGTTCTGGGGTGCTCAGAGACCATCACATTTTAGATCCACAGAGCAGCTGACTTGGCGACCTTCCTTTATAGCTGTCCCCCTGCCCCCATGCCATCTCAACCACCAGGGGTCCAAGGGGTTACTAAGCCCACAGGACCCAGCTCCAAGGGGCTGTTTAATCCCACAGGATTACTTCATTGGGAAAGTCACGCTTCTCGTTAATATGGAGAGCCCATGGTTGGCAGAGAAACGTACAGGGCCTTGTGGGGAGCAAGGTGTGAAGAGTGCACACAGCATGCCACTGAGTGCGTGAGAATGGGGGAATAAGGTCCGTTTTTCAAAAAGAAACCTAGGATGGGTAAACGAAAACGAAAGAAACAAGCGAGCAGAGAGCGGGGCATGGATGGGGTGGAGGGGAGGGGAATGGAGACGGGACTTCTGCACACAACAGTTCATGTAATTTTGACTTTTGAAGTATGTTAATATTCTGCACGTTCAAAAACTACGTAAATCAACAAAGATGGGGGACAAAACCTGAAACGGTACCAACAGGAGCAAACGCTGACACCTGCTTACATGAACTCACATCAGGTTGGTAACATAACCACACAGAGGAAAGCACTTAATTTAACTAGCTTTTGAACACAGAACTCAGTACCCCCTCGGCGGGATACACTCTGCTATGAAGACCAGCAGAGCAATCTTGGACTTCGGAAGTTTGATGTCAGAGGTGGCAGGGGAGCCGTTTACAGAACCGTTCTGTGTGTACTGTAAGCCTGAAAAAGCAGTGCCAGGTGGGGGAAAGCAGATGCAAACGTGGGCGGGAAGGAGAAAAAGAAAATAAAGCAGTGACTAGGGAAACACTTAACATGCGAACTTTGTACAACTAAACGGTCAGGCCAACAATTCCACTTCTGACGTATGCAAGGGAAAAGAATTACAATTCAAACTTCTTAGTCTTAAAAACAAACTGCCTACACCTATATCAAGGCACGAACAGTTATACGATTTATGGACAGATTAGTAAATTTTGCACGATCTTTCCAGCAACTGAAAGTGACAGCGCCCATGTGACTCGGCAGGCCCCTCCTTCTCCCAAATTCACTTCCTCACACCCCCAGGACCACAGGAAGCGGGGAGATCACCTTCAGACTTGAGACACAGCTATGCAAAAGCTGTGGGGAGAAAGGAGGTGGTGGCCTTGGAAGCCAGGCTTTGGACTCAGGCTGAGCTGTAGGTGAGTCGAGCGCCCTCACAGTGAAGGAGAGCATCTGAGGGTCAGGTGTGATAGAACGGTGAGGAAAACCTAGGTTCCATCACTGCCGTGGTTTTCAACCACTGCACACAAGTGCTTTAAAAAATCCCCAGTCCAATTAAACCTGCCTGGGGGACAGGGCAGGCTTCAGGATTTTTAAAAGCCTGGGGGACAGGGCAGGCTTCAGGATTTTTAAAAGCTGCCAGGTGATTGCAGGTGCAGCCCAGGTGAGAGCTGGCATTAAATCCACGGAAGGCCCTCCCCACCTCCCCTACCCCCCACCCCGCCCACCAACGCTGCCCCATCACTGCCCTGTGCATTCCCCGGGATCACACATCAGACACGCATTAATCAGAGGCCCCGTCTCCCAGAGCAGGTGGTCATAACGTGCCATGTTTGCACGTACACGAGGCAGGAATCACAAAAACTCACGGACTGACCTCCCCCGGTGCTTTGGGCTGGATCGTAATGGCCATCTCTGGCGCGCTGATGAAGGACCACTTGATCTGAATGTCTTCTCTCTTCTCCTTCATGTGGAGCTCCAGCTATTAAAGAAAAAAAAAAAAAAAGGTTATTGGAGGACTGCTCTCTTCACTGGAGCCTCAAAATGTGTCTGTGTGTTCATTTGTTTTCTTAGGCCGTTATTTATCGCCTCCTTGGCATACTGTGTGCTTTCAAAATGGAAAGGAGGGTCCCAAATCCCCTGACCTCCCTTTCCCCGTTGTGTAGCCCACCCCGCCCTCCCCGGCGCCTTCCTCTGCCTCAGCCTGTCACTTGGAGAGGAACGTCAGGGTCGGGGCTAAAGGCCAGGTGCCATGAAAACCCTGCAGCCTCTTGATGACCAACCCTCTGCCTTGCAGCTCTCTTCTGAGAGCATCACCAAGGCATAATGGAGCCGGAGGGACAAAGAGAAGGGAGCCGGACGCCTTGTCCAGCCCCACATGCTGACACAGCCCCCGAGAGCCGTCAGCATTCTTATCCTCTCTTGCCGGGGCCACTACACAACCTCCACTTGGACTCTGATCTCTCCCGATGCCCCTTCCGGCCCTACCCATCTGTTGTGGCAGAATAACGCCTGCCCCCCCAAAGATGTCCACACCCCAATCCTTGGAACCTCTGGATATATTACCTCACATGGCAAAAGGGACTCTACAGGTGTGATCGGGGTAAGGACCTTGGGGTGTGGTGACAGCCCTGCATTAACCCAGTGATCCCTGGGGAAGCATAGGAGCCCTTAAAAATGGAAGAGGAAGACAGACGAGCATGCCAGGGAGATGTGACTGGAAGACAGAGAAGGATGCCAGGAACCCAGGAATGAGGTTGCCTCTCGAACCTGGGACCTTGCCCTCAGCTGACAGCCAGCAAGGAATTCGACCCGCAGTCCTGCAACCATAAGCAGTGGAATCCTGCTGATGACGGGTGAGCAAGGAAACAGATTCTCCCCCAAGAGCTTCCAGAAAGGAAGGCAGCCCACCAACACCAGGATTTTAGCCTGTGTTGGACATCAGACCTCCAGAATGGTGACATGATAAACGTGTGCTGTTTTCAGCTAAGATTACGGTGACTTGTTTCAGCACCTATAGCAAACTAATACGCCATCCTTCCTCCTTCAGCTGGAGACTCATTCTAAGGCCAAAACCTTGACCCTTCCCACCTCCACGCCTCTGCCCCACCACCCAGGGAAAGGGAAGGAGGGAATGGCTTTAGACTTGTTTGCTCAGTACTCAGTACTCTCCCTCACACTAGCAACTAGCATGAAGTAAGAGAAATGATGCTTCCCTTGCCCTGTAATTCTGGGTGACTCTCGCAAAAGTGCACTTTAGGGCTTCCCTGGTGGCGCAGTGGTCGGGAGTCTGCCTGCCGACGCAGGGGACACGGGTTCGTGCCCCGGTCCGGGAAGATCCCACATGCCGCGGAGCGGCAAGGCCCGTGAGCCATGGCCGCTGAGCCTGCGCGTCCGGAGCCTGTGCTCCGCAACGGGAGAGGCCACAGCACTGAGAGGCCCGCGTGCCGCAAAAAAAAAAAAAAAAAAAAAGTGCACTTTAATTTCATTGCCACAGTCGCCGAGTCGCTCCCACCAGGTCGGGGAGAGGGGTTAGCCGCTCGTCTCTATGCATCTTTTATCTGAAGAACGGCAGAGGACGGGATGCCTCCTGCCATGAGCATTAATAATTCACCAACCTCTAGCAGCTGCCCCTGCTCTGAGAGGTAATCCACAGGCTGCTTTGAAACTGTGGTAAGAGATCAAAGATACAATTGTGTTACCTGTATCTGAGCTGCCGAAAAGGGCACATAAACAGCATCTCAGAAACTATGTTTCCTCGGTGAATGTTTGTGGTCCTTGCTGGACTCACCCCATCCTGAAACGTGTGTCATGTCGGGTACGTGTGTCCCAGACTTTAAAATAATCTTCTAATCACATTGTCCAAAAAACTAAGTGGGGGAGCAGCAGGGCTTTAACATCTGACAAGTCCACGAGGTCAACTCAACCTCTTCGACTCTCGGAAAGGGAATGTTACCAGGGTAGGGCTGGGGAGGCTGGGTTTCAGAGAAAAGCCATTTAGGGAGCCAGAAATTTTTGCTTGCTCTGGTTGTTTAAAACCATGTCTTTTAAGCAAAGCAAATGGAATATAATCTTCCCCTGTGGTTGAGAACCCTGAATGATTTGCGCTCGTCCCCCAAATTAGCAGTCAAGCACAAGGACAGAGGAGAGGGAACGGCTTGAATCAGCAGTGACCCCCGAAGCAGACTCAGAAATTCACAATTTTTACACACCGGCTAAACAAGAGCTTCAGTGAACTCCTGCTTCTGTGTGTGTGACATGCACAGCTATCTGATGGTTTAGGCATCCATAAGTTTCACTAATAAGTCTATTATAATTATTACATATGTCTCTATTTATAATTGCTTTATGTATAATTATTAATGTTATATATACAATATATAAATATATCAATCATAAAAATTATAATTATGTAAGTCTAATATAATTATTATAATAATGTCTATTATCCAAAAAATAATGGTAGTACTCATCCTTTAACATATAAAAATAATAAGGGGTCTTTTAAAGCTGACTTTTTCAAACACTAAAAGGAGGAATGCCAAGTCCAGCCCCAAGCTGTTTTCCAAGCTGCAGGAGACTTCTGAGGTCTAGTACTTGATCCTGAAATAGAACCACCTGCCGTCTCTCAGGTGACATTTTCCTTAATCTAACAGTCGACACACCCTTGATATGCTTCAGTGCCTTGAAAAATACCATATCTCCCGTACTTGATGGTTGGGAAACTCTGAATTCGTTATATATACGTGTACATATGTGTGTGTGTATATATATGCGTCTGTGTATATATCTATGTGTGTATATATGTGTGTGTGTATATACATACACCTATTTCACACACACTTTATTTCCTACAAAGACAATATGGAAGGTGACAGTTCGAAACTTATGAAATGAACAGTAATTAATGAAAACAGGAGCATGCACGTCTGATTGCACTCCTCTCACCCTGCAGGTTTATGAGAACTGTTTTCCTAGGACTCGCTCAGTCTCCCCAACTTTACCTGTAGATGAAGCGGGGAGAGCCGCACACTGTAGAGCGGACGCCCCGTGTCCTCGGACGAGGGTAGCCCCACGCTGACCAGGAACTGGATGGTCTCGCCCACCACACGACAAAACACCACCTAGAGAAGGGGCCATAAAACAACGGAACTTTACGCAAGAGAGAGGAGAGCTTGCACCTTACCCATCTTCATTTCACTGAACAAAATAATCTGGACTCTATAAATCAGCAAGGACAAGAATTCAGAGTTTCAAGTATGGATGAATACCCAGATTCACACCTTTTCTACTATGCAGTCATTTGAAAACTAGAAACAATATTTCAGATCTCTTCTTCCTGGTGGATTCCTGGGAGCTAACTCTGGCTTTGCCCAAATCTAGTTAGGATCTTTCCACTCATAAAGACCTTTTTCTTTAAACATGGTTTCGTTCTATTTCTCCACGCAGCCGATTTTAAATTGCCCAGACAGTTCCACATTCACATGGAGTGAACGCCATTAGCTACCGTCTCTCACTAAAAATGGGCCTTAAAAAGAAAACTTCTTATGGATGTTACAAGGAAAAAATAAAAAACGTACCCAGAACGCAAGAAATTGTTTCTATTTTAATAAATTTTAACCTATTGTGGTTTTCAAAGATGCAGGGATAATTCAAAGAACGAATGAAATATTAAACAGTTACAAAATGATATAGCCTTAACAAAAACAGAATTATAAAATGAGCTCAGGGCTTCCCTGGTGGCGCAGTGGTTGAGCGTCCGCCTGCCGATGCAGGGGACGCGGGTTCGTGCCCCGGTCCGGGAGGATCCCGCGTGCCACGGAGCGGCTGGGCCCGTGAGCCATGGCCGCAAAGCCTGCACGTCCGGAGCCTGTGCTCCACAACGGGAGAGGCCACAACAGTGACAGGCCCGCGTACCGCAAAAAAAAAAAAAAAAAGTTGTAAAATGAGCTCATTTAAAGACCTACGAGACAAAATAATTACATCAGGAATAAACCTGACCATATTCCTGACATAAATCGCAAAGCATTTTAGAGGGATGAGTGTGAACGCTGCTACCGCACAGAGAAGTATCGTGTTTCTGTCACAGAGTCCCCCTACTGGAGCAGACCTTCCAGAACGAGGGGTTGGCCACCCTACTGGCAAAGATGCCAAGCGAGCCCAGTGTGGGATGACCAGAAGGCCAGGTGCCAGGTGTGCAAAGGCAGAGGGAGGAAGGGCAGTGGGAGAGGATGGAGGGGGTCCAGTAGGCAGCCCGTGCATCTGGCCAAAGCCGGGTCGGCAGAGGCTGAGGGTACGGCAGGATGGATCCCACATTCCCCAGGGAACTGCTGACCCCATATTGGACGGTGTCACTTGGGAAGGAAGGAAAAATTCTTTTAATTCTCTGGTGGATTTAGAACCTAAAATACCAAGTAGGAAGACTGTCAAAACATTTACTTTGTCAGGATAACTGCTATTTCACAAAGTTCAGACTAAAAACATGTCCCCCTGCTGATCCCTGGCTAATCCTCTCCGCTCAGGGCCCACCTGCCCCTCCAACAAGAACCTGACCTGGACCATACCAGGCCCCCCAGCAAGGGGCCCATTTCCAGTGTCCACTATAAATGCTCTTGACAGAGCAGGGTTAGAAATAGAAAATCTTGCCTTTTCCAAATACTGGCAGAAAACCGCACAACCCTTATTTTCACCCGTTCTTGTCAAGTCCCTCTCAGAGGACTGATTTATGTGGATTAGTTCTACATCTTCATCAGCTTATTGCATCTCCAGAGCTCATCAAAGGGTGGCACAAAAAAATGTTTGTATAAGAAATGTCATCTATTCATTTTAAAAATAAACGCTCTATAAACAATCCTTTTAGAAGGAACTTGTTTTTGGTTTTGGCCAAGCCACATGGCATGCGGGATCTTAGTTCCCCGACCAGAGATAGAAGCTGGGCCCCCTGCATTGGGAGCGTGGTGTCTTAACCACTGGACCACCAGGGAAGTCCCAGAAGGAATGTATTTTGATGCCGGATGAGTTATACACACAAGTGACATGACTCTCTGTTCTTTGTCTCACTGCTTAAAATTAAAAACCAGACAGTGACTGGTTGACTTCTTCTTTGGAAACTTCTACACTAAGCGAATTAGAATGTTACCGAGAACACTGACAGCTTCATTAGCGCCCCGACTCAAGGAAGAGTTTGGTTTCCGTTTGTACCCAGTTCTACAAAAAGCTACCCCACTGCTCCATTCCTGATACACAGATAGCCCAAGCACCCGGTTAAAAGCAAATAAACAAATACTCCAAAGAAGATTTTAAAAGACTTTAAAACTTCTAGAATGCAAGCCTCCAAAGGTCACAATTACCATTCAAGTCACATGAGGAAAGCAAGTGGAGTCACTAAAAATGGGACATCTAAAGGTCTGAACGCCCTTTCATAGAGACCCCCCTGGAGGGTCTTCCCTGGCCCTATGGCTTTCTGACCCTCTAAATAACACCTGTCATATAGACCGACCATTTCTTGGCCTCTCTTCAGTATATTCAGCTGGAAAAACTAATTAAATCAACAATCTGATCAGTTTTGATATGGCCAAACAAAATGCCACCAGTGTTCCTATGGGTCCAGCTGGAGGGATACGACCATTAGGCCAAATCCGTGTCCAGGGCCAGACTCTGCCCCTGCCTCTCTGAGAGCAGTAATATCCCATTTGCCAAATGGATGAGAACAAAACGGAAAGCAGGCTTTAAAAATAAGTAATCTTCTTTTAGTGCATTAAGGTGTCATCCACAACGGGGATTAGATTCTCTCACCCAGGCAAACAGCGGCGAGGCCGTCCGCACCCCCAAGGGGTCCCCTCTTGGGACAGCAGAAGGCAGAGTCACCTGATGCCCGGTCAGGCAGACCCTTCCAGCTAGTGCCAGAGCGCCCAGGGTTGACTTCTACCTACATGTGGACGAGCGGGTAGAGACCCTGGTCTTGACCCTAGAGTCTCCCTGCCCCAAACACAGTCGTGTTCATGAGGCTCCCTTCTGAAGTTTACAGGTCAGCTCCTTGGAGCATCCCAATGATACAGGGCTGTTTAAATATGGCTGTCAAACCTTTCATGTGTGGGCCTCCCCCCGAAGCAGTCTGATATCGGTACTGGATTTTTAAAGTTAAACTGAAGCAATATCTAGCTTCCGTGGTGGAGGCCCTGAAGCAGGACTCCACAAAGCCAAGATCTGGACGCACAGAAGCGAGCTCCCTTGAAAGCAGCCAGCCACAAATCCACCTGCTTTATTCTTGAGATTTTTTTTCCCAAAGCAAGCAAAGAAATCCTCGATTACACAAACCATTTCAAAAATCACACAACAGGGGCTTCCCTGGTGGCGCAGTGGTTGAGAGTCCGCCTGCCGATGCAGGGGACGCGGGTTCGTGCCCCGGTCTGGGAAGATCCCACATGCCGCGGAGCGGCTGGGCCCGTGAGCCATGGCCGCTGGGCCTGCGCGTACGCAGCCTGTGCTCCGCAACGGGAGAGCCCACAGCAGTGAGAGGCCCGCGTACCGCAAAAAAAAAAAAAAAAAAAAAAAAAAATCACACACAGAAGGCTGAACCGTGTATTCAGATAAATCCCCCCTTCCTCCCTCCTCTCTACATACGAGAGGCTTTCATGGGGGGTGGGCTCCACATGGGGAGGGTTTCAAAGGTGCAAGTCTTCAGCCCAAGGAGCAGCTGCACTGACAGGTGAAGGGTCAGGGTCCCTGGTACACCCCCAAGGGTCAAGAGGGGAGGCAGCTGAGGGAAGCATCTTTAGGATGTGAAAGTGGGCACATTTCGTTATAACGGCAGGGAGGCCAGCAGTCAAGGTTTTTTTTTTTCTCTCTAGCCTCCATACCTTAAACTCAGTCACATACCTATGCAAATCGGTCTTATCTTCAAACTATATTCCTTTGTTTAGACAGGGGCCTAAAGAATTCCAGGCCTAGGTAGTCCCAGGTTTTGCTATTGCTTGCCAACAAGAAAGTCCTCGGATATCTGTCAATCTCACCACACTTTTCCACTTTCCTTTTCAATTAAGCCTCTTGTATGATTGCCTCAGCTCCTCCTCTGAGAACACTCTAGAGAACTGTAAATAGTTTAATTACTTTTGTCTCCAAAAGAATCAGGAATACAGCTGAGAAAAAGGACCTAAAAGGTTTATGTCACCCAATATATTTCACTTCAATCACGCTATATGACATCGTGTGGGAAAGAACTCCAAAATAAAAATGGAAGTAAAGACCCTTCGCTAACCCTTCAGAGTTCCCAGTCAGATTTCTTCCCCAACTCTGCAACCCAGTCTTGGGCCCGTAAGTATTCTTTACGACGGCACGAGCCTGATAGAAAATATTACTTCTACTCTGGAACAGACTCAATTTAAAAAGTAAACTGCGTCAGAGCTGACTGTTCTCAGAACATCTATAAAGTTAACCCTGCTTGCCCGCTTGTTCACAATACCTGGCTGAAGGTGTATTTCTAGAAGGACTCTCCCAGTGGACCCAGGTGAAAAATGCTGGAAACAAGATAGCAGCCAACCCCAAGGAATGCTGGGTAGCTGCTCTATTTCATCCCCTCGAGGGGTGTGCCTTGGACCACACGGGCTCTGATACCCCACCCCCAACTACACCCTCCATCCCTTCTCTTGTTGGGATACTTTAAAAAGAACAACGAGGCTTTTCAGTAATAGTACACGACCAGAAGGTATTGTTACTACATCATGTGGTTTAATGTGAGCATTCCTTGGCTTAAGAATCCAAGAATGTGCTCTTCTCCTCCATGGACTCTATGCATTAAAAGACATATACAGGACACTTCCTTTAAAATGAAGGCACTTGGTCACACCTCCACCTAATGCCGCTGCTGCTTGATGTGTTCCAACTCACAAACAAAAGCCCAGCTTACCCGAGGGTCCTTTTACCTGGTCTTCAGCAGGCGAAGTACCTGAGGGCTGACTCAGCCCAGAATTCCACCTGCCTTTACCCAAACAAACAGGTGGCCCTCCCAGAGACACTGCTCCCCTTCACATCTCAAAGGGCGGGGCCTCCGATGAGACATTTCGCACCTGCCCTTGGAAAGACCTGGCTTCAAAACAATTTCACAACCGGTTAGTATTTTAGCATA